ATTTTTTTTTTCAATTTGGGGGGGGTGTCATAGGGGTCCGCTGGATTCGCCACTGGTCACTAGGCAGGAGATAGAAAGATACATACAATAGATAAGTGAGCAGCCTTGGTCACCTGGACACACATACCATAAATCAGTCCATAGATTCTAAAGCTTGTTTTTATCAAAGTTCGTCACAGCGACAGTAATGCGTTCCTCTCGTGTTGTAGGCACCAGGAGTACATAAACTTGATCCTTCATAAGTATGTGCACAACTAACCTCAAGGCAGCAGGAATTGCAACTTTCATGTGACGCAATTTCTCACTGGACACGGCAACTTCAAGGCATATTTGAGAAGATTCGGCTTAAGTTCCAGTGATCTGTGTGATTGCAATGTTGGAGGAACACAAAACGTCAAGTATTTTATTGTAAAATGTTCACATTTTGAGAAAAATAGAAAAAACTTAATAATTGCCTTAAAGTCGCTCAATATTAACTTTCCTCCCCCTTCTTCGCACTTTTGTGGGAAGCAAAACCATCTTCAAACTTTTCTGCAAATTCATTGATTCAGTTTTTCATGCAAATTTATAAATCACTTTGGTTTGTGTACCATTTTATTTTTTATTTTTTCTCATCCTTTTTGTAAATGTTTTTATTTTATTTTTATTATTATTTTTCTTTTCTAAATTTTACATGCCCTTTTAGTATTCTTTTAGCCTTTATGTATTTCTGTTTAAATATCCTACATTGTTTGCTACCATACTTATGTCTGTAATCCTCGTGTTGTACTTTTTCAGTGGTGCACGAGGAATCATTTTGTTCTTGAATAAAAAACTAAAAAAAAAATATATATAAAAAAAGGCAGCATGAACACATCCCAGATTGCGTGACGGAATTAAATGCAAACAAGTTAATGATAATGGAGCCGGGTGACCAAGGGTGCACACATTTGTAGTATGTAGCAGAAACTTAATCAGAGTACTAGTGCTATATTAGTTTAAATAGGGTTCTTCTTTTTAACCCAACATAGAATCAGAAAATAAATCTGAGGAAACAATTATGAATTAATAATACATAAATATTTTTATTCTTGATGAAAGAGTCTGCTTGAAGAAACAAATTATGAAGCAATCATGGGGTTCAGAAGCAAAACAGGCATGGGCGGAGCCTAATTTACTCAAATGCAAAAAGTTTGACACTAATTCAAGCAATAAAAATTGATTCATTCAAAGTGGGAAAAAAAGGCCACAGGAAAATGTCAGGAATTAAGTTGGACAGTTAACATATATCCATTTATAAATATTTAGATAGATAAAAATTACTTTCAACTTCTTCCATGCTGTGCTATCAGTTGTCAATAAAAATAGTTTTACCAACAACTCTGTATGAAATTATTTTTCTTCTGTAGATACGGATTAACATATTTAGCATTAAAAAGCTAAACAGATGTAGTGGACATATGTTAAAGTGTACCCACTTTTATTTCAATGAAACATCAGTTTCCAATTTTGTAGTTTTACAAGTATTGCATAATAAAAAAAAATTTACATTTTTATGTGCTGCAAAAATTTTACTTTTTTCAGAAATCTGTTAAAAATATAACTTTCTGTTACAAAAAAGTTTGTTTTGTATTTTGAAAATTGATTTACCTAAATTGAGGAACAGATTATAGAAGATCAATATGCTTTAACTATTTTTTGTTTTTAAAAAAGGAAAAAGAAAATTGTCTACTTTGACAAGTAAATGCAATAATTCAGATAATTACTTACGTTAAATATAACCTGCAGAAGAGTTGATTTTCAAAATTAATAATTTCTGATTTCATAAAAAATCTAATCGGCAGTGCACTACACTTCCAAAAAAATGTCAGAAGAAAAGTTTAGTTTCTAAAACAAGTGTTAGTGTTTTTTAAAACTTTTTACCAATAGCCATAAAAATCAGGTTAATTTTTAAACAAGAATTTAATAATCCTTTTCTCACTTAACTTAACTCTTAGTGAATTTCAAGTTTTTTTTATTTTACTAAAAACATGAATAAACTTACATCTAACATTCTCATCAATAAATGCAAATGAACTTTCCAACAAAATAAAAAACCAAGTTAAAGAGGCAGGAAATGTTAATGACAAAAATTTTTATTTTACTTTTAACAAAATTATGAAAGAATCTTGTCATTCTAGCAAGAAATTACAAAATTTTCAGATGGTATGAAAAAAAAAGTCAAGATTAATTTGGCTAGGTTCGTTAAAATTTATAAAGATATTGTAGTATAAGAGAAAAGTTATCAGATGCTTACAAGTATATAATTTCACAATTTATGACCACATAATTTCATTGAAAAAAATAAAATTATTTTATTTTGTTTTTTGGTGCTTACATACAAATACAGTCATATGAAAAACACAAGTAAACGATATGACATAAATTACTTAAGAGACACTGGAAGTGTTTGCACATCAATGGTACCAAGTTAAATAACAGATTGACTAATCCCTTTCAATCATGGAATTAAAAAAAAAAAATCACATGTTGAGCGATACAAACATTTATATAATTTTTCCTTTTCAAAACAGTTGCAGAATCATGCGATTTCCTTATGACTGCCAATTACAATTAAGAAAATGATATATAGGTATATAAAAAAAAACTTCTCTACATGTTTCACATTTAAATATTAATCAGCATAAAAAGCAAATATAAAGATGCTCTACCCAGATATTTCTGTAATTTTAAGATGTTTACACTGAGCATCCCAGTCTGGCATCATTTTTTGAAAAAAATAAACAGAAGCAATGGAAGAGGGATCATTTTAAAGTGCTGAGAAGACACTTCATAAGTTGCTCCTCCGGTACCATAAAGATCGCTGATACACAAGCAAGTGTCCTATTTACCTTTTCTGAAATGATCCTCAATTGCTTCTTGACTGGCCTCTTCAAAGTCGCAAGCTTGGACATATTTGTATACACTAACTAGAGCTTCCTTCAAAGAATCATAACTACTAGGGCATAACATCTTTTGTTTGACCTTGGCGCTTTCAGGACACCTAAAACAAAGTTGTCACAATTTAGTAAAAAATATTAGGCAAAGTAATAATTTTTTTAATTTTATAAGAAGACAATGACTAGAGCAGAAAAATGACAGAAATACTGATCTTTTCACCTTAACTAAAGCTGGGTGAATTTCAAGTAGAATGCACATGTTACATACTAGGGGCTGAATGAGACCCCTTGTGATTTGAGGGCCCCTTACTTTCAAGGAAGATAAACCTTTTCAAGAAGTTTTTTTAAATTGTAAATAGATACAAGATTATGCTCAACAATTGCTGCTACTAAATTAGATATGCAACATAATTATTCGGTATTTAGCCTATACTGCTCTACGCAGAATATTCATTTCGGACGAATAGCGGAAACAAAATCACTCACATTTCAAAAAATTTCAATTTACATATTTTAAACACAACTTAGTCATGCATCACTTTTCATGTGTTACGCATTAGTAAACTTAAAAAATTCTTAAATTTACAATATTTTATTTAAAAAATTGCTTAGAAATTAATTTTAATTTGCATAATATTCTATTAATTAATTTTATGAATAAATATAAATTGATCAACTATTTATTTATAAAAATAAAAAATTATCATTTAATATCAATAAGAATGTGCACACGATGTTTGCACAAGTAGAAATATTTTCTTAGAATACTACATTTGGAATTTCAACTTAGGGAAACTAGTTCGTTTCGAACAGTCTTTCTTTCACTTTTATTCCCTCCGGGAAGGGTTTACAGATCCCTGGTTTTCATTAGCAAAATATTTTAAATTGTTGCCCAATTTGACCTTCTCTGAAAGGTTAAAGTTCCTTGCCCTACACAACATTTAGTTACAGGGATGCCAAATTTGTAATTTTTGGAGATCAAAGGTTATTTTTGACAGTCTCAAACTTAAATTCTCAAGTCTCGATTGAGTCTCAAATCAAATTTCTCAACTTTTTAAAATCAATATATTTAACTAAAAAAATAAACTTCATACATTTATTAAATCAATATAATTTTCATGGGTACGTTGTTCATAAACAGGTGTAAATCACATTTAATTGAATATGTAAATAACTGTTTCAGATATATTGAAATATGATGCATGTATATTTTTAGTATTACTTTAATTAGATTAGAAAAACGTTCCAAATTAGATAAAAATTTAAATAGGTTGGAAAATTCCTTAGAAACAGCAATTTAAATAAAAGAAATTCAGTATCTAGACAGAGACTAGATGCAAATAGATGGCCTATAATTTGGTACAATTTATTAACATATTTTTTTTAAGGTTTTAGACACTTATAAATTTTCTTCACAACAGGCAAAAATAATATTCAATAAAATATTTAAGTTTAGTCTCCCTTCAAAATTAAAAAATCTCATCCAATCTGGTAACTGATTCTACAAACATTAAGACATTTAAAAATTTTTATAATTAAAAATTATAAAAATTTAACATTGGCATCAGATAACACTGGCATCAGACAAAATGAAAAATTGATTCCATTTCTTATAAATTTAAGAGACTAAATTTTAAAGAACAGGGTTTTGTTCATCTTAACCAGAGGGTCACAGTTATAACCATGGACGGACAGTGGTAAAAACTCCAGAAGAAAAAAACAATTTGGAAGAAACTCAGGTTTTATAAGTTTGACAATTGATGACTTCAACCAGTTTTAAAAGTCATGTCAAAAATCCAAAATTTTGGTGTAAGGATAATTATTAGCTATTATAAATAGGAAATATTTATTAATAAACACACATATAAAATTACAACTGATCAATAATGTTCCTGAATAATTTTGGCATTTAACTGTTTTGACAATTACGATCAAAACTTAGATTTTGTTGAAGAATATAAAATTATAAATAAAAATCTCTAAAATTGAGATTTGTTAATTTATTTAATCATTGAAAGTATAAATACAATTGTGTAAAAATAAAACTCTTCAATCTTATTATATGTAAAATCAATTTTTATTTACATTTTAGCTTTTTTTCATGAAGCATACAATAAAAAAAAAAAATTATGAGTTCTTTTGTACTCCAATTTTTTAGCGTTGTCAGAATAAGACCGAAATTCGAAACTACTCCTTCGATTGGTGCTGAACTCCATAGACTAGAATGTAAACATACTGTAACTATCATAACATATAGAGTATTATAACAGGTTAAAAATATTTTTGGAAAGTAAAGTTTATATAGGGAAAATAATTTAATTTTACAAAATTCTTAACATTAATTTTTAAGAATTCCAACTAAAAGATAAATTAACATTCTTCAAAAAAAAAAAAANAGAATATATTAAAAATTATATTTGTAGGATTTAAAAAAAAAAAAAAAAAAATTGGAAAGCAATACATTTTTAAATCAAAAATTGTGTTGAAATTTTTTTTTAGACAATAATTTCACATGACTGCCTGAATTCTCCAAAACCTTGTTTGCCAAATCAGATATATTCATATAAGTAATAACAAATATTGAGAATCAAAAATGAAAAAAATTATAAGTTGAGATCAGATGAGTATTGGGAAAAGCTTTAGTTTTACTTAATCTAAAAACTACAGCATAAAATAATTGAAATATTTAGATTAATAAAAAACTACCTGTAATATAAACTGAATAGTTATAATACTGCTAATAATCAATTAAAAGAATAAAGTTTAACTTTTTTTTTAGAAAAACCTATTATTAGTTTCAATAATTTTGGCTATATTATTTATGTTATATATAATATAAATCAATTATAGTAGTAGAGAGACAAGTATTGTGCATGACTTGTACCACGTTTTAAACAGTTTTTGTCAGATCTACAGTTTAAGAGAGTTCTTGACACTGACAGGTTTTTGACACGACATGCTAAAAACCAGTCTTTACAATCAAAAAACAATCCATGAAGAAGTCTTTTCATAAAATATATAACTAATATTAGAAAAATTCAATACAAAAGTATATATATAATAGTAGAACTTAAATTTATAATTATGAACAGTTTAAATATTAAATTTAGTTATTAAAATTTCAACTTAATGTTGCATAATATAAGAGCAATTCCATGGCACTGGGAATAAAAAAATGAATTTAATTTTCTTAAAACAATTACATTGATAAATTATAAGTTTAAGTCAAAGTTATTAAATTTGTATTAAAATACTTAGTACATCACATTCTATGAAGATTCTATAATTATAGATTCTCTTGACAGTGTTCTGTCAAGAAAATCAGGTAATTTATTCTTATCAAATTTTAAAATTAATTACAAAGTTCATCAACAGATTGTACTGTTACCAAGGAAATTATCAAACAATTTTTTTGTTTGTTGCATATTAGGTTTCTATAATTGAAGTATTTGCAAGTGTGCCTTTTGAATTTTGCCAGCAGACAGCATTACATTGCTGCAAATGTTGATTACTTAGAAAACATTGTTTTAAAGCTTATCTCAGTCACAGCGCAATAGTTAAATTAACTTTATCAGGATGTGTAGCCAAACTTTTAAAGAAAAAATAAGCACTTTTTAAGCACTCGAAAAATATTTTTAAGTTTCTAAAAAAAGTATAGTTAGGATCTAGGCAGCAATAAAAATTCTTTCTTATTATTATTGAAGGTTCTTCATACATACATTAACAAAATACAAAATAATTTTCAAAGACTTTACACCAGGGGTGTCAAATTCAAAAGCTAACTAGGGCCAAATTAACAATGCTTAATTTTAGGTGGGCCGGAAAAAAAATAATCAATGCTTATAGAAACAAATATTTTTATTTTGAATTGCAATAAACATATATAAAGTTAAATTATTGTTTACGTCCTGATACTTGACATCTCTTCTCTGCTATTATCTTTTCTATTTCGGGAGAAATTTTATTGGCCGAGACTACTTTCAAAATTGACCCAACGTGAGCGTTATTAATACGGTTTCAGACAGGAGATTTAATACCATTCATAACAGAAAATAATTGCTCTCACTGATAAGTACTTCCAAACTTGGGAATAATTTCAAACCTTGCTGGTAAATATTCGTGAAATTTAGGCACACCCACTTCAATGAATTTTGCCTTCAAATTTGAGTCACACTGAATCTCAATCACTTCCATTTGCATATAACTGGGTACTGAGTCTATATTTATTGAGAAAATCGAAGAAATTAAACATAAGTTGTCTTCCAAAGAATTAAAATCTTTAAACCTTGTTTCAAATTCTGTTCAAAGATTTGAAATTTTTTTCTGCATATTTTTGATATGATGCAGTATCATCTAAACTAGATTTGTTCTTGTTGCACGTTGGAAAGTGCGTTAAATCTTCATTTTTCAGTTGACTTTCCCAAAGAAATAGTTTACATTTGAATGCTTTTTTAATTATGTCAAACATGTTCGTAATGATCTGATCCTTGCCTTGTAACAATAAATTTAAATCGGATAAGTGTTTGGTTATGTCAACCATAAAAGATAAATCTTGCAACCATATTTGATTGGAGAACAAGCTTGTATCTTGATTTATAGTTTGTAAAAACTTACATATTTTTTCTTTTAAATCCTAGAATTGATTGAAAACCTTGGAGCAAGATAACCAACTTACCTCGCTATATATACCAACTTACAACTTACGCAAGATACCAACTTACCTCGATAAACCTGATTATGTACTAATTGATAGCTTAGTGTTAAACGGACTCCATTTCAGCCAATTAGAATTTTACATTTTCGAGCGGACAATTTAAAATGATCCGTATAGTTCATAAATAAAGTATATTATAATTTTACATGCTGGTTTCGTCTCTAATTCACAATTCTATTTTATTTTTACTCTGCTTCGGATATATTGACTGGGTCACAAAAATGTCCATCTCGGGCCGCGAGTTTGACACCCCTGCTTTACACCATCATGATAAAATAACTAATTTCTAACAAAGAACTCTTTTCTTGATTTATATTAGCCACCATAAAAACAATTTATACATAATTTTAAATATATTCAATATTAAGTGGTTGTGTAAAAAAATTTAATTCAAAATTATAATAACTGCATATAATTTAAAAAGGTTATAAAGCGTATTTTTTAGATTTAAATAATAGTTGTTTCTAAAAGCATATTCAACAATATTATTGATCATATCGAATTTATAGAGATATGTAAAGAATTTAGCAAAGAAAACTTAAATAAATTCATATTACTATAGTAAATAAGTAAACGGCTCCTAATAAATTTTTTATTCAAATTTGTTAATTTTAAAAATTTTAATCTGGATCAAAATTAATTTTCACTTGGAGATTTTTAAAGTAATACAATAAAAAAGTAATACAATAAAAAAAGTAATACAGTACATTGAAAAAATTATGCAATTAGTGAACCGTTAGGTAAAAATAATCTTACTTTTAAAACTCTTAATTGTAATCAAACGTAATTTGTGAATGATCCCCACGTGAAGTTCAAAGCTTATAGTATTGATCTATAAATAGAGTAGTGCAAGAAAACCATTATTTTGCCAGTGACGAAGACAATGGCGCTTCACCATTGATTAAATTAAGAAAATAAATAAAATTTTCTTTTGATATTAGAGATAAAAATTGGCAATGCATAGTTAGTCCCAATGATCAGTAAAAATTCAAGAAATTTTTCGGTTCGATTTCAAAGTGCGTTAAATGAAGCCTGAAATTGAGAATCTCTTGCAAAATGCAGCAGATGTACACGAGAGTGCAAGAATCTTTCACACCGAATGAAGCTCAGTGTAAACACATGCGGACTCACAAATATTTCATCTAACATGTAAAATGATTGGTGCTTTCATACGCTGCGGACTGACAGTACCCTAAAATAGATTGTGGTTGAATGAATTGTGAAAATGTTGAACGATGTGAAAGGTTGAACGATGTGAAAACCACGCTTTTTAGTTAATTCATGACAAAAATCGGCATGGTAAAGAAAAATATTTATCTTTATCTAAAGGGGAAATTAAGTACTTTTTAAAAACACCCAATAAAAAAAGCATCTTTTAAGGACTTTCAAAAAACGTAAGTCGAAAATAAACTCTCTTTTTAAAGACACTACGTACCCTGTTTATAAACACTTTTACATTTCATAACAATTGAATATTTGTTACTTTCACAAAACATAGCAAATCACACATTTCTATCTCCTTCTGTGTAGAGACAGTCCACTGAAACTCTAAATCTGTTTCTAGATTATTAATATTCAACAAATGCTTGGTTTAAGCAAAATATATTACAATTATGTTGTTTTTCCAGTAAATGTTTAGGTCATTAAAATTTTAAATAATTGATTACTTATTTTAAATTTAATTAGCCTAATGAATACACACGCTTTCATTTAAATTGAGATTCACATTTTAGTCACTTATCTATTCAGTTATTTTGGACAGTGTAAAATATTTAAAATCATTATAACTGGAAAAAGGAATTATTTCAGTTAACAAAATTAAATTAATACAATTCTTATTTATTATATTGTCCTCAACTAATGAAGGTATATTTTATTGCTTTTAAAAATAATTTCTTCCACTTAATGTGATCGAATAATAATTCAAATTGATCGAATTTTTTTCATAAATCGGAGTTCTATTTTATTAAAGCTATGCATCATTTTTACAGTATTATGACTGACTAAGCCGTGCGTTCAACTCTATAAAACAATTTTCTAAGTGATTTAAGAGATCTGTTTACTCATTTTGAAATTAAGTTCTTTTTATGATTTATTAGTGTTTTAATTTCATTTAATGATTAATTTTTGTGAAATATGTATGTATATTTTTGATGCAATATGAAGTTTTGTTGCTTTAAATTTTTTATTGAAGTTAAGATGTTTACAGTTAGAATAGTGTCTGTTTGTCTAATTGAACTTTTTTTAATGTAACTTATCATTGTCCATTTTCATTATTTGTACTATAATTTATTTGTGCTATAGTGCCTCAAAAAAAATCTTTTCTCTGATTGTTGTATGTTGCTGGCACTCAAGACATTTGAAAATGCTTTAATATCAGGATAAACTGTAAAACTCTACTAACTTTTTACTAAAAAAATAATTTTATTCAGTATAACTAATAAATAATGAGCTAAAACTATTTTATTTAGGAAATTCAAAAGTTATCATCACCATTGGCTGGTAACAGAAACCCTAGACATTATTTTTCATCTTAATTTTCTTTTTCAAAAGCAAATGGAGAAAGTTGCTGCTCTTTCTAAACTTGTTTCAAATATTAATGTATAATTTCTAAAGGCCTTAAATTTGCAAATTTTACTACATGGATGTTAGTTTAAGCTGAACTTTTACAACAATAATCTTTATAATTATTTGTTAATTAATAATGATTATGATAATAATTATTTGCTTTTTTTAGTAGGCACTATGGGAACCTTCCTAGCAAATTATCTTTATCACTGACTTTCAAATTGTCAGTAGGCTACTAAATATCAATATTCTCTTCAAAATTTTGAATTGAAATGTCGCCTTTGAGTAAATTCAAGTATAAAAAATTTCAAATTATTAGAAAGTTTTTAAAATTGCTGAAAAATATTTTTATTAAGCATCTGTGCATTTAACGAAAGCAGTTTTTCTAACAATTCCTTGAGAATTTAGTCTTGATTTTTTTTAATCTTTGTGGTAAAAGTTTGATAATTTGTTTGCTGAACTTTTTGACAAAACAGTAATTGAATATAGAGTATTATAAATTAATTAAAAATTTTCTTTTGTACTATAATGATTAACAAAACTCTAGAGGAAAAAAACACGAGAAAGAGTTTTTTCTTTAATTCATTTAATATTAGCTGTGTACAGATTATTTCCTGAAATCAAGTGTACTTAAGTTTTTTAGAACAATAATGCTAATTATGAGCATGTATATTAAGTTTTATAATAAATCATTCTTAATTTTTATTATTCATTTCTTTTTGTGATCGATTTTTAACTGTTTTATGTTTTTTCTCTCACTGGTGTGCAGTTAGACAGTCACAGTGAAAATGCAACACTTTTGATTTTAGAATCGGAGGAATAGTTTTAGAAAAAGCATTCAAAATGACCTATGAATAATAAATAAATATCAGATATCATTCATTATTCTCTAAAGCTTAGCCTTCAGTCTATTCTCTAAAAAACAGTAGTAAGATTACTTATGACTACATCTAATGATTAAAATAAAGAGATCATTTGAATAATACGAAGGTAAAAATTTTTTGAAGAGTTAATTTACATTATTTAAATATTTTTCAAGCATGACTCTAATGGTTTAAAGTCAAATTTGAAAAATATTTAAATAATGTATATTAGTATTTTTCAAACATGACTTTAATGACTGCATGTAAGATTTCAGCCAGAATTTTATTTTAGAAGAGAAGTATATCTGAAACTACACATATTGATGAATTATGAGGAAAAAAACGTGGTTAATTCCTGACATAAACAGTACTGTAGAATTACGGTATTTTTCCAGCATCATTATTTATGGATGTAGAAGATTTTATTTATTGGCAAAAGTTTAATTTTAAACTTTAAAAACTTTCTTTAAGCTTTAATAACTTACTTTTTTCTGTCAAACATTTTTAGCCATTTAATTTATTCAAAAAGCTATATTTTATTATAGTGTAACACCTTATCTGGACTTGATAACTGCCTGGATTTGGTGAGGAAGTTGGTTTGTCCGGAAGGTTTTGCACTATCTTCATGCAGAGCTTTAAACCACCAAATTTCTGAAATTTACCCTCAGTTAACACATGCCACGTAGATTTTATGGAATTAAAATAAACTTTTCACAATGATAAACAGTCAATAATTTAATAAAAAATCACAAGAAACACTTAATGCAATTTTTTCAGAAAAAATAATTCTGCGGTGATAGTGAGTTAATAACAAAATTCGTCGATTTGTTTTTTTCCTCACAAGTTTTAACAGCTAACAATCAAATTAAATTTTTTTTATTCTATCAAACTTGTAAATTTTAAGTTTTACAGATTTTGAGCAGCAAAACAAAATGTAACAGCGAGGAAAAATTTGCAAAAATAACACTTAAAATTATAATAACTTTAGAACAGATTTGAATTTCGAAAAAAAATAATCTATGTTAAGTTCATAAACAATTGCCGCCCGGCATGCCAAATTTCAACTCCGTAGCTGCATTCCTGTAACCTGTAGAGCGGCTTATCTAGAAATAATGTTCAAGAAAGAAATTTTACATAAAAATTAAAAGTTTCACATTTCAAAGATGTTCATTTAATAACAATACAAAAAAAAATATTATAATAGAAAAATAAAGTACAGTATTTTTGGCACACAGTATCAAGTAGAGTAATTGCACACAATTGAAATATATTGTTAATTCTCCCCTACCATTGTTCAAAAAATGACTGAAGTTTTATACACCACTGCTTTTCGGCTTCAATTCGTTTATCTATGGTTTTAAATGTCCTTTAAATAATTGCCTGCATCTTCAAAAACTTCACTTTCATTAAATATCTGAAAGTAAATAAGAAAGATCATGTGTTGGTCAATTGGGTTACGTCAATTTCTTTTTAATCAGTTGTTTCTTTTAAAATTTTAATCAATGCTTAAAACATATTCTGACTCTTTACTTCCTTTTTTAATTCCTACTATTAGTTCTCCCTATTATCTTGTTCAAATTTTCAATCGTTAAATGAAATACATTTTATTCATCCACTAAAGTTCAAATACCTTTTTTTAAACTTCTAGTGGATGATGACACTTGATGTTAATACAGTTTTTTCAAATATTAATTCATTCATTAAATTTAATTAATTAATTTCAGTTTTATGCGTGAGAAAATTTTTTTAATTATTTAAAAAAAGTAACTAAAATAAAAAAAATTTCTTTGTTGACCAAGTAGCAATTGACTTTAAAATTTATTATTTTTTTATATTATGTACTTGCTTTAGTGAAACCCAATCTTTATAGAGCTATTAATTTTTATATTGCTTCATTTTTATATTTCTGCAATAAATACGTAATTTTTACAACTAAAATATTTTCATATTTATTATAAATTCATTTATTTTCAAGCTCATTACTTCTTTAATATTTTTTACACACTTTGTAGTCATTAATCAATATTTTATGTTTGCATTTGTCATTTGTATCTATCATTGGCTTAGCACCAAACGAGCAATCGAGGTTATGCCGTATTTGTGTCAAAAAATATTCCAAATAAAATAAAGTTCTAGCATTCGAAATAATTTTTAAATACGAAAATAAACAAATATGTTTAAATATTCATAAAATGCGTCATGAGATCAATTAAGTATGCTTGCAATTCAAAAATTTATTAGGTTTGTGCAAAGAAGTTTTGGTTTCAACAGAAAATTATACTTTATTTAAGAAAAAATATTTTTTAGAAAAATAAAAAACATCCTGAAATATAACATTTTTTCAATGTTACAAAAACTATTCTTTTCCCAGATTTTTTAAGCCCATTGAAATTTAATTCAATGAGCCTGTGTAAACCTGAACTTTTCAAAAAACAATTCACTCAATGCAATGAGTAAAACAGAATTTTAAGCATCATGTTAAAATTTAAACAGATAGATTAACGATCATTCTGCAGAAAAAAGAAAGAAAAGACATCACCCTGAATAACTTCTGTTCTAATGATGTGATTTTCGGCACTAAAACAATCTTAGTGGTTCAATGAATTAATCTCAAATATGTTATTTAATTAGTATTAACTATTACTTTAGTAACAGAATCAGACAACAAACTTTCTCTGAATAATAAGGTCTTTTTTTTAACAGATTTGGACTTAGAGCAATAAAATCTAATGGCAGCTGAAAATCTAAAAATTAGTTTTATTAATTTCAGGAGAAAGTTTGGACTGCTTCAGGTTTATTTTACTTTCTTAGTTTTTGTTTATAAATCTAAAACTAATTACACAATTAAAAAAAAAACACTTGTACTTGCAAATGAAACTTATTTCCTAAGGAATAGTTTGAATAAAAGAATTATTTTTAATAATTATTATTTTATTTAAATAACAGTTGAAAAAAGTTTAAGTAGTAAAGCATAGAGATTTTTACATAATTTTAAACTGTTTTATGTTAAATGCTGAAATACAAAATTTAAGAGCTATCAGCTAAATAGTTTTCTTAAGAACTATTCTACCAATTTTGAATTCATTTGTAACTTATATATAATTCATAGCTGCCAACATGGATAAGAATTTTACGAAATAATATACATTTCATGATAATTGTTGCATAATGAACTAAATATTTTACACATAGGGAATTTTAGGGATTTTTATAGTTATCAAAATAGATAAACTGCAACATTTTCCAGTTATGATTGACATTAAACATACCTGGAATGTTATGTATTATGCTTACTCATAATTTCGAATATTAATAGGTATTTAATTCATCAAAGATAGTTAAGATTTTTTTAATTAGTTTAAGAAGAGAGATTTGAATGAAAATAAATTGAACATTTTAGAACAAAAAAAGTTTTGAACTGATTTCTATAAATGAAGTTCACTTCTTTATTTATTAGTAATATTTATTTAAATATTCACGCAATTATCTGTACAAAAATTCTATTTCAATAGGGATTTTTTTTAAGGAAACTTACTATATTTTAGGGAATTTTCTAAAATATACAAAAACCAGGAGAATTTTTATTAAACCTGTAGACCAGGAGAAACTGGCAAAATCCAGTAGAGTTGGCAGCTATGTATAATTAATTGAACATTGCAAAAATGTAAAATACTGAAAAAGATACCACTATAAAAGGCAGTCAAGTGTCAAAGTAATTGAAAATAAATCAGGTATATTTTGAAAAATAATAGGCATAATTGAAAAAATATAAGAATAAGGTACATTTTGTAATTTAATTTTTAAAAAAAATGTATCTCTGAAGGAAATTATATAGAGTTTTTATCACTTAGACAACTTACTGTTTCCAACCTTGCTGAATAATAACAGTTGATTTCTCAATAGGCATTCCTTTGCTAGAATTATTTCTATTATGCTGGATGCAAACCCAGGATTTCTTGCGTCTTGAACCTCACTATTATTCTCATGCAGTCCTTTCAAACATTTTATGTCCTTGTTTTCATTTTCACTCTTCTGAAAAGAATATTTTTCTGAAATTTCTTTGCTTTCACAACCAATCAGTCTAGTCTGTTGAAAAGGGGAAGTCTGAAGAAAAAGCTGAGTAAATAGGCAGAATACAACAAAGACAGGCACTCATAGTTAATATCATACCTGCCAACATTGGAGAAATAAAATAATGGAGATTTTACTAGAGATATATTTTAGGCTACAAGTAAAGTTTTGAAACATCATGCAACTCAAAAAGAGAAATTCAAAATTGGAAATAATATAAGCACTTACATTTAGGGAAGTAAAAAATATGTTTATAAATCTAAAGAAGATTTTTTAGAATGATTATTTATAATGGCTTAAACTATTTTTAAATCGTTGTTAAACAGCTGACCCAATTTTGGGTTTAAGGCTACTAATGTTGCACTCCATAGACTTGTAGTTTTGAACCTAATCCAGAGTACAAGGGAACTCCTGGATCAATCAAGTATTGGGAGAAACTTGCCTTCAAGGTGGACATTTTGATGGAACTAACCTGCATTTGCGTAACATAGAGAGGAAAATCACGAAAACGTCCCATGGTTAGCCTGACCTTGAGGAGTACTTAAACTATTAACACTAAACATACTGCAGTACTGGCAATAGCACTATAAGTTGAGTATTTTTGCCATCAGCAGATATTTTATGGATTTTGTTTTAAAAATTTCAGCAACAAGTACAGAGAAATTTGAGAATACACAAGTAAACAGGAGATAGTCCTAAAATACAGGAGTCTTCGTTAAAAAACAAGAGATTTGGCAGGTGTGTAATATTATAAGAGTTAGCAAGCATGTTTGACTACTACACTACAACTTGATTCAAATTGCAATTTTAAATATTTTTAGTTGAAATTACTAAGAGTATTACATAGACATTCATTTATATAGAGAGAAAATTTCCTTTTCTAATGATATTAATTATAAGGATCAGACCATAGCTAATGAAATTTAAAATAACTTTTATGTTTGGAAAAATGAGTACTTACATAATATTTACTTGTTTAATCACAAAACTAAGGAACAAAGCTAGGGATCTAGGAACATTCTTTCAAAACAGAAGAATATGGAAATATATAGAGGAAACCAGTTCAATGTTACAAAAGTCGTATTTTAAAGCAAAATGCAGATATTTTAAGTTAGCTTTGCCACTATCTTAAATTTACAGAAGAAGTCAGAGTAGTGCAAAACTTAAATTTTGCTATCTAGACAAAGGAGGTATTGTTTCTGATGAATCCATTCATGTTAAATCAAAAAAAAGAAATCGAATCCCAATCGATAGAACTAAAAGTTTAGAAGTTGATGTGGTTTAATGAAAAAACAATGCAAATTTAGACTTTTAAGCATCTGCATTGCCGCCTGAACAAGTGAGGTATTGTCTGGTATATTACATTTACTTTAAATTGAACATGATCAAAAGAAAATAAATAATTAAAATAGTTGTTCTAAATCCAAACCAAGTTGCTAGAGTTAGACCAAAATTTGAAGATATTCAAAAAGTCAATGATGAAATAAATAAAAAAAGAAAAAAAATTTCTGAAAAGAAACCCAAACAGTCCAAAATGTGTTCAGCAGAAGACAAGAATTTTAAAGGCTTAATGTTTTGATTTACACTTTTTGACGCATAGCAGTCTAGAGAAGTGGTTTTGAAAATTAAAAAAGAAAATACGCAAAATATGGATTTTAAAATTTAGAATAAAAATTACAATTTTACCTATTTGTGAGTTCAAAATTGCTATTTAAACATGTGAGATATTATATTCTGCATATTGTTTTATTCTGAATGTGATCAGAAAAAAAAAAAGAGTCAAGAATACAAAACAAGTTTTACCTGTAAAAACTTTTAAATTACTATTTAAATAAAAAAATTCATCAGGCATTGCTATCAAATATGCTGTTAAATTCTGAATGCTTCATAGTGTGGAAGTTATAAGGGTTTTTATGTGCAAAAAGGTTTAACTAATATTTAAACCTTTTATGCATAATAACCCTTATATCTACTTAATTGTTTATCCTGTTCATTTAGGTTTTGATTCAATTCGATTTGGCATAAAAAAAATTATTAAGCCATTCTTAATTTGCTAGATAATGTTTAAGTTCCCTCCACACCTTCCAGCTTACATATTATGCAACATTTTATGACTTATTAAGATAATATTTCTTCATAATAAATTTTTTTTTGATGTTTGGTTTATACTATATTTTTTTCAGCAATCTTTACAGTACTGTGATCATTTTAAGTACTCAAAGAGTTTTTCCTTTTGTGTTCTTTCAAATGCACAAATTTTTCAAAATTATTATTATCATCATCATTACTTTTTCCCATATCTCGTACCACTGTCAAGATAGAAACACAAATCTCCAGTTAGCATTTTCAGTAATATAATCATGTAGTACATAGCTATTTTACAATACATAGACACTATAACAGCTGCAGATACCTTTAAAAAGCTGCAGATGTTTGAAAACAAAAGTAAAAAGAGTGCACAGGCACTTGAACTTTACTGAGCACCATGTATATATATACTATATTAAGTTATTGCTTTACATAGTAACTCCTCTGATTTTGATACACTTCAATTAAACATATGTAACATACATGAAAAAATAAAAATAACCAGTCATTTAAATGGTTTTATAATATTTGACATAAAACTTTACAGAATAAAAACTATCCACTTAAGTTAGTGCTTGAATACGGATATTTAAATTTAGAAGAGTAAAAAAAAAGTTTTTCTAATAAAAATGTAGGATTAGTCAATGCTCAAACAAACTTTAAGAAAAAAAAAAAAAGAAAACTTGGTGGCTCTGCTCACAAATCCCCATTATTGCACCACATTCGTTTCTTTTAAAGGTCATTCTTTTTTGCAAAATAAGCTTATTTTAAGAGCAAAATACACAGTTATTATAATTTTATATTGGAACATTTTCTTAATATTTTATTTATAATAATATAAAGTTATCTTGTCTTGAAAATAATAGACTGCACCCGAGAAAAAATAAATTTAAACATAGGAAAACAGAATATGTGATACAATAGAGGCTTTGTAGTGGGCCAAGGACAAATTAAAGAAAAAATACAGAGATTTTCTGGAACAGCAGACATATGCCAGACTAATTTTAAAAAAGACACACAGTAAACTAAAAAACATATAATTTGCTCTACTTAAATGAATTAAAGTTTTACAAAAAAGAATAATAAAATACCCTATTTCTATATTCAAAATTATTTAAAAACAGACAGTACACAGCAGTAGCTTTTATATTTCAACACACTTTATTAAAGGAACATAGGACAATTTTTAAACGTTTGAGATCAAATATGAACAACTGTATAATGAAAATATTAGAATAATCCAAGTTTTTATCAGATAAAAATAAAACATTTAATTTTTAAGCATTATAAATGCATATATGCAAACAATATTTTTGAGAGGAACTTATTTTAAATCATACAAATTCACTAACTTAAAATTTGCTCATTTTTTAATAAAATGATTTTTTGTTAAATATCAAAACATTAGAATATTCTATTTTTTATAAAATTTATTCAAGTAAATAGAAGTAATTATTTTAGTGGTAGTTAATAGAAGTAGTTACTTTAATACAAAAGTAAAAAGAAGAATTTATTTCAATAGTGGCTGAAACCTGAGCAGAACATTGGGGGGGGGGGGAACCTAAAGCGTATAGCTAAATAAAAATTGATTCAACATTTTCATAAATTTGAGTTTCAATCTCATGTTTTTCTAAAGCAAACTATATAAGACTATTAAACAAAAGCTTACAAGAATGTGATGATGCAAATTTTAATTGAATAAATGGTTTTCATGAATCAAATTTTTTTTTTTATACGTATGATATACATTTTGTAGGATGGATAATAAAAAAAGAAAGTTATTTTGATATTCAAGGCATTATTTAGTTACTATATTAAATTTAACTAATTTCATTTTTAATTAAAGCATTTTAATTCTTCTTCTTGAACCAAGAAATTTAGAATATCAAAATTGTACTATGTTAAAAGAAATTATGCAGAGTTTGAAATTAAGATTCTACTTGTCTATTTTTCAAGCATTGAGAGAATACTACTAAAGATTTTAGGAGACAAATAATATTCTAATTCCTTAGCTTTAATTAAAAAATTTTAAACACCATAATTTTTAAAGAACGTGATAAAATCATTTCATATTCAAATAAAATATGACTGAGTGGTGATTTTGTTAGAAATTCAGATATTTGGAACAGGATGAAATTGGGGGGAGGGAGATTCCATTTTAAAAATTAGGTTTTTCAGAGACCTAAATCCATGACTTTCCATGATTTTTTTTGAAAAATAGTAAAAATCATGACATTTCATGACAAATTTTGTTCAATACCGAAATTCATGACTTTCCATGATTTTTCATGACTTTCCAGGTGCGCGGATACCCTGTTTACTGAAGGTAATTCCTGCCCCTTCAGCTTTCTTTCAGTAAATTGCAAGTGAGTAAAAAAAAATTTTTTTGTACAAACTATAATAACTTATTTTTATACACTGTATCAAGAGTTTAATTTTAAAAAAAATTGCTTTACAACTAATAGGAAAAACTATTGTTTTTTAATTACTGTGCCAACCTAAAATATACTTAAAAGGGAAATTTACTACTGAATAAAGGATTGTAATTCTTTTAATTATTTAAAAAGCTTTTAATGTGTTTAATATGTTTTAATTTAATATAATTACATATGTTGTTTCTATTTTGTCCGATTTCAAACAACATTAAAATAAGAATGATATAGTTTAACAATCGGCTAGAAAGTAAAACTGGTAAAATTTGGTATCATTAAGGCTCACTTAGTATCAGAAACTCTAGGACAACTGGTTCTAAGGCAATTCAACCAATCACATAATTAACTTATTATTTTAAATTTATCAACATTGAAATGGATAAAACACAACTGAATGAGTTTCTTATATACATAATTTTTTTAATAACTTTCATCAATTTAAAAAATTATTTCTTTTTTATTACATATTTTGTCGTAATGTTTAATCCATTTTTTCATTAGTAAATATTTCTGATAAAAATATTTTTTTTAAAAAATAGTAACTTTTTAAATAATGTATAAATTTTCACACTTAAAATAATACAAAATATTTCATTACACATGCTTTTAATTCATAACTAATAAACAGAGGGAAATCAACAAGTAATTTACATAGATGTGTTTCTTTAAAGTTAATTAATTGTATTTCAGAAAAGTTCATTAGTTTTCTTTTTTTTAATTATCATTGAAAAAGGGACTGAGTACTTTGAAAAATTTCGAAAATGCATTTTTGAAATTACAAAATATTTACAATCATGAATTTAGATATTTTTTTGCCAATAGTGATGTCTCTAAATATCTTCAATGAAATTGAATATATATAGAGATTATGATATATAGATTTGTTTAAAAATGTTTCTTGTGTTTTGAAAATTCAATTTATATCTTTTCACACAAAATACCTATATATAAGTATAATTTAAGGAGTTTACTTCTGCTGGTTTTATAACTTTTTTTACAAAATTAAAAAAATATATTTTTCACAAGGCACAATATATGAAATAGAAGGAAACATTTTGGAGTAATTAGGGGATTTACCTTGTTATTTCAAAGTAAACCAAAAATGAGTTTAAAATCCAGACAACATTGAAATTCTAACAGCACTAAGATTTTATATACACTACATACATGCAAACAATTTTCTCTTAGATAGAAAAAACAAAAAATTTGCTTAGTCTAATGAAGTGGTATTTTAAATCTGTTGCTTCAAAAATGTATCTGAATGCTTGATTAAATAAAAATCACAGTTAAAACTTTTACTAAAACTTAACTGAATGAAAATGTTACGTAGAATTTGCAGTAATATATAAAATTAAAATAAAAGCTGCAAAAATTTAAAAATTTCTGATATTGTTAAAAAAAAAAATTCACAAATTTGTAAGACTTGAATATTTTCTATGAGCAAAAAAGATTTCCCAAAAAGTTAGGAATCCTCCAATCTTTTCATGAAAGCTGGCAGCTATGCAATTAATTTTTTTTTTACCTGGAGTTATTAAAAAACATACAATGACTATTACCATACCTACATAAATGGATATCAGAATAGGATTTCTGTTTTTTCCATTCAGCCATTCTTTAGCTGTAAGTGATGGAGTAGGAGCAGCAGTGTCAGGAACAAATCTTCTTGAAATTGCTCAGGCTAATTAAAAATAAGTTTTGAATATAATATATAATTTGTGTTTATCATTTCCCACATGAACTAAAAGGTGAAAATATCAAATTTTTTTCATGTGAAAAAAAGGAAATACTGTCAAACCTCATTAATGCGAAATCACTTAGGGTGAAATATCGCTTTACATGAAATATATGTTTGGTCCCATGAGTCAGCAATAAATTATTGTGTTTTACAGAATATTTGACATAAAAATTTCTTGCTGAATATCGCTTTACATGAAAAGTCACAACACAGATAAGAAGCATGTGCATAATGTGCCAATTATTCATTTTGAGGAATGCTATTTCCATTATCCACGTTTGTTAGGAGTAGCAGATGGGCAAATAAGTAAAATAGTTAAATAAAGTTATTAAAATTTTTAGGCTTATTTGAAATTGTTTGGTACATAAGCGTAGTACATGATATGTATTAATAGTACATAATAAATTGTTTTCATAATGTATCGGATAAGATGAAATTTGGTTAACGTAAATAATTATGATAGTTCCGCCAATTTTGCGTTAACAAGGTTCGGAAGGAAATTTCGAATTTGGAAGAGGAAATTATTTTTGGTATGAATTTTTACAATTATTAAATTAAATGTTTTCTTTAATGAAACAAAAGCATCCTTAGTAGTTAATGTGATATTTTACTAAAGGTATTTCAGCACTTCTACCTAAGCACTACAGCCTGTTGTACATCAACCCTTCATTTTCTTCATCTGTCATTAATCGAACACTATGAATCTCCATCTGTGTTAGATCTGGCTATCTCGTTGGTAATTTTTGTTTCTTTTCACTGTTTTTCTAAGAAGTTGGGGAAATTTGTTTTAGTGAAGTGATCGACCGTGTGCTAAATCTCCAAAGTTATCTTCGTACAGTATCTTCCCCCTGACCTGGGTTACTCTGCCTATTTTATTTTATAGTGAAATTAAGGCCAAGAAACATGCAAAATTTCATTGATTTTATAATATGCAATAAATAAGACATCATATGCATATTTTTTAGTATAAATCTATTTTTAAATTTATGAATTTTTTTTCCAAAAAGTGTAATAAAATGCCCTTTTGTTAAAATCTGTAGACACATTTTTCTATTTATTTTCATTTACATATTTTTAGCCCAAATCATATTAGGTACTAGTTATAGAGATAAAAATAAAGAAATAAAGTAATAGATAGGAACCAGGGTGGCCACTCAAATTAGATTTCAAATTTCCCTGATTTTCCATGTTTTCCAGGTAAAAATCTTAAAATTTCCAGGTCCGTGTTTTTTTTTTTTTCTTTTATTATAAAGTGTAGGATGTATACAAGAAAAGTGTCGATATTATAAAATATTTTATTCAAAAAGTAATTTCTTTAACATATGATCTTGAGGGAAAAAAATTTATTTTGACAAGATTTTTTTTTTAATGTTTTGGTACAACATTAATTTTTAAAAAATTAAGACACGTGGAGAAAATAATATGTTTAGCTTGTAGAATATATTGTTTTTGTAGAATAAAATTTTTTTAATGTGTTACTTTAAGTTGTATTTGCTCAAAGTGTACCTACAAAATGGCAAAAACAGAATGACCAATAAAACCTTGGATAAGTATTATTTAATATATTTTCATTAAGCAAAGGAAAACTGTTTCAGGTGGTAATATATCAATAAATTTTTATAATTCCAGTGGCTTCCAAAAGTGGTCATTAACTTATAACTTCTATTGAAATGGGAAATAAAAATTCATCAATTAAAATGAATATATTTCACAATGGGTATTTGATAAGATGTATAATGTAATCTTCAGAATTAAAATTATTGTCAATTGCTTTAATTTTTTTATTTATTTGCAATTTAGTATCAAACTTATGATAGCAAAATTATATTTTAATTTTTGCTTGTTAACTCCATAATATTTTATTTTATCATTTAAAAATGGCTCGTGGTAGTAATAAAACAATAGACCAAATTTGATTATTTGTTATCATAAGAGGTAAATCAGTAATGAATGTTAAATTAGTTTATTGTGTCCTGTTGCACTGTGCAATATGTGATAAAATGCTTAAAAGAAGGACTTCATTTAAGAGATTAAAATTATAAAATTTGTGAAAAATTCATAAATTTGCAATTGAGTGTTGTAAAAGTTTCTGTAAAAATTTTTAAAAAATAGTCTGCTTGAATTTAAGCCGACAAAAAAAAAAACTAGCTACATGTATTTACAAACTTATAAAAGCTATTGTAGATGCAAAAGGAAACTTGCGAAATGTTAAATTTAACAAAAAATTAGACTATTTATTAATAGACAGACTTTTTTTTTTTTGAGTGAGATTAAGTTTTTGTCATTTTTTGATGATTGATTTCTCAAAAATAAACTTTTCCTTTGTTTTTAGAATATTCCATACAGTTTTGTTAAGATTAGACTACATTTTTTATTTTTAAATATTCATTCTGAAATATTCATTTTAATTAATGGATAGTCTTATTTCATTGAAAGTCATAAGTCTACCAACACTTTTGTGAATCACTGTAATTACATTTCAATATAAAGCTGTACTGTATATCGCATTATACTGTCTTTTTTCTTACCAATGCTTTTTTATAAAATTCATTGATCATATTTTCTTTAAGCCAACATTTGAAGTCAAATTTTTAAATAATATTGTTTTGAATTAGCATTATTATTTTAAGAGATTCAGTACACAAAAATAAATGTCACAAATGTGAAATTGTCTAATTTTTTGTTCTATACACAGTAGGGGAAAAAAAAGATAAAATTCCTTAATTTTATACTTTTTTGAATTTTTTTTTCTTTCTTGAAATTCAGACATTTAAAGAATTCCAATCTAAACAAGACACACGGTTTTTTAGTTTAGCGTTTAGCATAGTTAATCGTTTTTGTGTTTCAACAATTAGAATCTTGTACAGCACACAACTAAAACACTAAGTTTCGTTCTCCTTCCTCCGACTAAACACATATGAATAAAAAAATATATATATTTTATGTTTATACATCATTTAATATGTTTCCAATATATTACTTAGTCATTATCGGCTTTTTAGGTTAAAAGGAGGGATAGTTCTGGAAATATCATCTCTGGAATACAAGTAACATTTACGAACTTTCGATATTGTGATAACTGTACAATTCGAATTTTGAATCAAAAATTAAATATTTACCAACAAAACAGTAAAATTAAATATTAATAAATAGTTTGTTCCAAAAAGAACCTTTTTTTAAAAACTAAAATATGTAATAAAAGGTTAAAATGAAATAGAAAAAATTAGCATTAATGCAGCAATTGTAACAATTTGTCGACAAACATTGCTGTTAGTGATTGTAAAAAAATGTGTGATTGGTTGGTTTGCTAAGAAAAAATAATTTATAGATTTCTTTGATGGGAGTACAAAAGATTTCAGAAAAAGAGTGCAATATAAAATCTATTATTATTATATTATAACCAACTAATTTTTGGAGAATTTTATTTAAAAATACAAAAACATTTTGACTCATTTTGTCAAAATAGAAAAAAATTACCTGAGAAAAAATCATTTATAGATTTCTTTGAATGGGAGTACAAAAGAGTGCAATATAAAATCTATTATTATTAAATTATAACCAACTAATTTTTGGAGAATTTTATTTAAAAATACAAAAACATTTTGACTCATTTTGTCAAAATAGAAAAAAATTACCACCAAAGCATTGGAACAAACTTGAGCCATAAATGGATTCAGCCCACAGACAGAATTTAAAAACAGCAGCAAATATCTTAGCCCCTTTTTGCACGTCCAGCACAATCTTTGCTTTCTTAAATTGCACAGTCCCATAGTCTCCATAGAGATCAAAGGTTTCAATATTTGTTTAGCAACCATGAGAGAATTTAATGTGGCATTCTAGTTTAACAGGGTTATAATATAGCAAATTTTGATGCAAGCAAAGTTGATGACATTTTAACTGTTTGGAGACACATTTCCGTCAAAAAAATTTGTGTATAATGGATGAAATAATTTAAACTAAGAAAATTAGTAAATAATTTAAATTAGGGAAATTAAAAAATATCTAAGAAAAAATTTCCAGCTCTTCTTTAAACTTTCCTGATTTTTCCAGGTTTTTATCCAAATTTCCCTGATTTTTTCCAGTATAAAAAAATTCCCTGATAATTCCAGGTTTTCCAGGTGGGTGGCCACCCTGAACACTATAGTTACCACTAAGTTCTTACGGTTTCAGTTATCAATATATCAATGTAGTTAGTTACATTTCTTATCAAATTATTTATACATTTCTTCTTTCAAATTATTTATAACAGCAGATGCAAAAAATTATTTTTCTTCTATTTATGATAAGATCCTCTATTTATGATAGTATACACTTTGAAAACCACAGAATTATACCAATGCATAGTATCGCATTTAATAAAAATAGTGCTTTTGAAAATTCTTGAACTTAACAGAATAAAAGTATATAAGATATTAAATTATATTGACACAAATGAACACTATGTTATACATTATTAAGCGTATATATAATATAAGTAACCAAAAAAATTAAAATACCTATATTTCACTAGCCCTTTGTTTTTTTCATAAAATTCTTTTATGCATTCTTCGGGGATAACAATCCTAGAAAAAATTTATCTATATAAACAATACCACAACTGATTTTTTTTAAAGAAAATAATAGCAAGAATAAATTAGTACAGCTAAAAATGCCTTATCCTTATTAGTATAGATAAAAAAAAGAAAAATAAAGCTTAAAATTTCATAAAAGGCTTTTCATTCTTTCTAATTGAAAATATTTTAAAGTTATTTGAAAAAATTAAATAATTGAAATTCTCACTGAATAGGGGGACAAAAAGTTTTTCTTTTAAAAATTTATGTAAGACCCATTTTAAATCTTAAAATTAAAGTTTATTTTCTGATTTGAACAGAAAATCTGACTTAGAAAGTACATTATTATTTATTATTTTGACAATACTCATAATTAGTAATAATATAACAACAGAACAAAGTTTAAAGTTGATTAAAACATTTTTAAAATAGTTTATGCATTTCGATTGAAATATTTTTTGAATAAAAAAAAATTTAAATTCAAAATGAAATTTAATGTTGTTGTAGTTGTAGTTCATTTACGCTGCACTAGAGCTGCACAATGGCTATTGGCGACGGACTGGGAAACATCCCTGAGGATGATCCGAAGACATGCCATCACATTTTTGATCCTCTGCCGTGCAGACGACACCCCTGCTTCTGTAACCTGACAACCTGCAGGCGAAGTTGAGCATTTTACGGTAGAACAGTAACGAGGACCAATACCGCACCCCGTCAGTCCCTATGCAGATTGATCCAAGTGGTCACCCACCCGCACACTGACCACAGCCAGTGATGCTTGATTTCGGTGATCTGCTGGGTCTTAACAATCAGTCCACTGTGGGACTGAAATTTGATGTACATTTGCTTTAATTTATATACTTTAAATAAATAAATAAAAAACAATCATTTTTCTGATTGATTAAAAAATTGGAAAGAGTCGCATCAAAACTGGGACTTAACGGCTACAAGACATACATTCTTACCACCATTTAATGTAAATAAGAATACATGGAAGTTGCTTAAAACTTAAACTCTCAAATAAAAAATTTATCTTGAAAAAAAAAAATTTATCGATACTTGGCGAAAGAGTAATCTAAAAAAGAAACATAGATGATTTGCAAATATTGGTTTCTTTCTTTATAACACTTTGTCAAGATAATATTTATTAGATAATTAAATTATAATTTGAATAAAATATGCACAGTGAAATTTTGTTTTAAATAAAAGTTTTTTCCCCATAAGTGGATAAATTCATTTTAGTGAAAATAGGTAGCAATGTAACTTAATTTATGAAAGTACATTAAAATATTAATACCTTTAACACAAGTTTTCTTTACAAATTTGCAACCAAGCAGTTTTTTTATTGAATAATAAAGTAATATTCAGAAAAAAGAAGAACATGTTGCGCAAGGAAATAATCAAATCTAATCTTAAACTAAAATCACATCGGGATGCATAAAAAGATGGATATAATAGCATCAACTTTCGCAAAGCTTACAAACAATTAAATTTCAAATTAAAAACCTGGTTCATTTATTTCTGATTTAAAAAAGTTGAATTTAAATTAACAACTAATAAAGAGAACACTTACTTGTCAAATTCATTTTCACACCAGTCAGGTTCTTTAAGTTTTTGTGTATTCTTACTTACATTATGGTTTTTTTCATGCCACTGATAAAAAACCATATCAAAATCACTGCCAAGAAAAAGATAAGAGAATAAAACAACTCATTTCATTTATCATTACTTTGAAGAAATATTTTAGCTCAAAAGACAAATATTTCCAAATGCTGCAAAAAGACTAAAAAATCTTATAGTACCAAATAAAAACAATATATTTTTTTTAAATGAAATACAAAAACTTTTTAAGGACTACAAGTTGCACTACTCTGGTACAAAGTTTTCTTTTTAAAAGAATTGATGGTAATGTAAAAAAATATTTACATACCTAGACATATATTTCTAGGTATGTAAATATTTTTTATGTATCTAGGTACTAAATCTACTAGGTATCTAGGTACTATCTTTTATATGCATCTAGGTAATAAATAAAAAAAATTTCAAAATTAAAATTTTATTAAAAAATTAACTTTTTTTTCAAACCTAGGAAATGCAGGGTAATATAATTTTTAATTCTTGACGCCCATGCGCATAAAATATTCAGGAGTTGTTAGATGGTATAGGGCAAAATTAGGAAACTATGGCAACAGCCAGTTGTAGCACTTTTAACAGTAGAAACTTTTTCAAAAATAGAAAATTTTGAATGGTTAAAAATTGTCAATAAATAATAATATCAGACATTTTTTTTAAAGCATCTCTCAAAATATGATAAATATTACAATTGTAAAATGAAGAAAATTTTTAAAAAGCAAGTGTTAAATAAAATAATTTCCCTAATTGTTATGAATATTCATATTAATTCCATATTTACTTTAAAAAAAAACCAAATCCAATAATAAAGTGCACATATTTCACATTTTTAACAAAAGGTGGAGACTGGCAAACAAGTTTTTAATCACTATTTGTAACAGTCAGCCACCCTGTGGCAATCGTTACTTTTGATGTAAGCCCTAACTCATAACCAAAGATTAAATGTTATTGGCTTAATAGCTGTTAAATTTTGATTAATAAAAAAAATTGAATGAGAGATGACATCGATTGAGAACATAGTTGAATATTTTACCTTGCATTATAATCACGTTGAACAGCGGATCCAATTTTGGGTTTACAATTACCAATGCTCAACTCCGTAGCTTGGGCTCTGAGGTGCAAGAACAGATGTTCCGGTTGAGTGGTCAGAACCCCCAGTGTTTATTTCCCAAGCATGCTTGGTACTCATTTATCGATCCACTGAAGATAACTTCCAAAGATAACTTCAGGCAAAAAATAATTTTTAATAATTATTTGTCTTTTTTTTATTTAATAAGAGTTGAAAATTTTTTGAAGTGTAAGGTATATAAGATACAGAAATATAAGATAAACATTGTTAGATATATAAGATATACAAATTTTTACATCATTTTAAAAAATGTAATTCGTGATAAAATACAAAATATTGAAATGAAATTGGTCAAAATATTTCGGTAGAAATTCGAATTTCAAATAAAAGACTTCTTTAAAATTCCATTTCTCAGGAACTATTCAACTGATTTTGTTCAAAGTTTGTATGTTTCTAAATACAATTACAGTCTTAAAGAGATAAAAAAAAAATTTACACCTTACCATTCAAAATGTTTTCAACTATTATTAAATAAAATAATAAAAAACAATTAAAACGGATAAAAATTATCTTTTGAAAGAAATCAGTTCTGGATAAACCAATTCCATAATTGTGTGCAAAAATCTTTCCATTCACTTAAGAAATTCTCAAAACATTCCAAACTAAGCAAAAAGTAGAATTAACATTAAAGGGTCCAAAATTTTAACCTGACCATTATTCCAAGATAACAACGACCCATAATATTTTGAGGGCAAGGTAAAAATTTGCCAAAAAAGGGTAAGTTTATTCAGAGAAAGTATGTTTTGTGTCTGGTTTCGTAACTAAAAAATCATATGCATTAATTAATTAAGATATCTGAAGTCACTTCCTTGAACAGTTTGGAGCTGACTGTCATATACACAAGCAGGAATGAAACGCTCTCATTTTCCGGCCGACACACTGCCATGCACTTTTCTCGTTAACACATTCGTTGCCACTAAAAATGATATTTCCATTCTCAGAAGCCGGATTACAGAACAGGGTTTTAATGGTTTAAATGTTCCTTATATTTTACTAGGAAAACCAGAAAAACAAAGAAACATATTATTTTCCTGTTTAGAGAGTGGTTGTTTTTTTTCGACGCTCTGGAGCATCAGTGGCACACAGACACAACCTGTCTTCGTCAGTGCCACTGACGCTGCAGCGCGTCTGACCAATATTTTCAGAAATTAATGGCATATTGCATAAAATAGCAGTTTAAAAGGAATAAAATAGAATACCATTCAAGTATATGTAGTACCATGTATGAAACAGAATTGAAAATATTTACAAATAATAAGCACAATATGCAGATATTGGCAGTCACGCACATAAAAAAATTCAAACAAAAATTTTGAAAACCAACCACAAAAAATAATGCTTCACTAATGTGCCAAAACAACCTCTCCGTTCAACTCCCAAAGCCACACTAAACACAGAGCATATAACTTATCATAGTCGATCGACGCGCTAGCGCGCCGTCGGCATACCAGGAGGTGCCGCTCTTATGCGCTAGTGCGTCGGTGGCAGCGAACATGACGGTGGCAGCTCCGACCATCCCATATTTGTGACAGTGTTTTGGAATGTTTTAAAAACTGTAATTTTAGGCACAGGATAGCATTGCATCTCCATAGGATTTCAAATACCAGTAGATTTGAACTTTTCCCATTGGGAAAGGATTAAGTTTTAGTATGTAAAAATCCAACCATTACATCTAAAGTAATTCAGGATGTTTTGTTTATTTTTTGCATCAGTTTTGAACACAAATAAGCACACTGTATTTGATAAATAATTTCAAGAAAACTAATACAAAAAATACTTTTAAAAACAAAACTAGCAAAAAATACTTTTAAAAACAATATTCTTATTTTCTTTATTATTGAAATCGATAAAAATTCAACATGCTCAGAGCAATTCAACATATTTACTCTCAAGACAAAAATGCTTTTTATAAAATTATTCTTTGAAATTGTCTTAAGCAACATTTTACATAATTTCAATCAATATAATTATAATACAAGTTAATCAAATAGTAATTAAAGAATAACAATTTAAAAATGTATTATTTTAAATTAAAATATTTATTTATATTACCTAAATGTTTTAAAAAAGCTGGACTTGTCCTTCCTCATCACCTCTCTCTTTTGTGTCAGACACCTGTAACATTTTATTTTGGTATGCAATCAGATGTCGACATTTTAAAACTAACATTCATACTACCGTTCAGAAAGTATTTTTGTTAAGCTTCCACCAGAAAATTTTAAATTATTTTCATTTCACGGATTTAATTAAGGCAAATAACACTGCAGATAACAATATTCAGTGGTTCTAAGATAGTAGTGCCTGAAAAAAACTTAATATTGTAACATTCTAGAAGTAAAGAAATATTAGAAAACATGTTATTTTTTAAAATTGTAATTAGAAGTCTTTACAATTCTTTTTCATCAATTAATAGCACTTTTAAATGTAATAAACATGTTTTAATTTCTAATTTTTGCGACCAACGACATGATTGCGGCAATGTGGTCAGCACTGCACACAGGCCACCTTTACTTCCCAGACAAGCTGGTACCCATCAATCTGAAGCTGTGTGGGGTTTAAGACGTCACAGGGGATGGAGCCCGAGCTTTTCATAATGACAGTTCAGAAACTTAACACTTAATAAATATTTTTAAATTTTATATCTTATTGAAACAATGTTTCTTTTACTGAAATCTAATTATTATAAAATAATAAAACTAAACAAATTGAATTTTTTTAAAAATTCAAGGAGTTCTTAAAAATAAAGATTTGATCAACTTATGGGGATGTGTAAATAACTGAACCATTCCATAACTTTGAACTGTTGTATGCTGATCAACTAATGGTAAGCAGACATATTTTGCTTTGACAGCAGCTGAACCTGAAAGCCAAAAACAATTAAATTTGCTATTTTTTATTGTCCAGATATTGAATGTTAATTTAAGATAAAGCACTAACATTCATGATTATACTTTTTTAGCTTGACAAAAGGGCCACTTTTAGGAGCCTTGGACCTGCATACATTAAGGAGGCTTGCTTGATTAATTTTAAAAAAAATAGCTCTGAATAGTTTTTAAAAAGTGTTTTACTACAATAATAACTACAAATATATTGTTTTACAACATCTTTGTTTGGTTTTTATACATGAATAACTTTAAAATATATACAAAATTTTAATATTCTTTAAAAAAAAAAATCTTTTTTTTTTTTAATTGCATCAAAATTTTAATTAACATCCTTCTTTTTAACTCCCTAAATAAAATTGAATTTCACCAGACATAAAATTGTACCTTTAAGCTTCTTTTGTTCCAATTTTGAAATCATTTTTCAAATATAGTGTACGTGAATAATTTTAGATCATTTTGAAAAGAAAAGAAAAATTATTTTCCTAGTTTTTCCATTTCAAAATTTTATAAATAAATAAGAGAAAGAAATAAGCGTTACGTGATAAGAAAAATATAATTTGAACTCTCAGCAGTATCCTATATTATAAGGAAATCTTCTGTCCCAATATTAATTCATAAATCAATGTTATTTTAGAATTTAGATGTCAAAAGTCTACCATTTTTAATTCATCATAGGTAAACAAAATTACAAAACTGAAATTTTATGCATGAAGTTAAAATTTAAAATAAAATTTATTAAAGATGACTGTTCTATAATTTTGTGTTCACTCTTTAAAAAGTTATTTAATGAATATGTTTGAGAACTTCATCCTTCATATTTTTTAATACTTATTTTATAATGATTTTTAATACATTTAAAAACATGCTCTAAAAACTTTTTACAAAAGGAAGTACTAGTTTAAATATATAAAACTGCAAAATTTTTGAAAATACTTAATCAACCTAGATGATTAAAACTACTCAAAAGAGCCTTAGCAACAAAATTTCACAAACTTTGTAGTTTTCATTCAAGTATTTTGCAAAGGAAGTGTTGATTTAACTTTTAAAGTCTAGTAATTTTCTAAATAAACAACAGAAAGGGAAATTTTAAAACTAATGGTACTACCAAGAATTAAATATTTTTCTGTTAAAAAAGAAACAAACTTTTCTGAAAATTTTGCAAAAAGTATAAGAAATAAGTTTTTTTTTCTTTCAAAATAAGATTTAAATACAAACAAATAATTAATTATAAAGATGCTAAATATTTTTAAGCCTTTGCTTTACACAACATTTCTAATCCATACTAAAAAAGAATTAAATAAAAATAGATATAAAATTTACAAAAAATGTCTTATACAAGAATTACTAGACACTAGACTTAATTCCAAATTATATATTTTTTCACATCATTTTCTTCTTCTGTTTAATTTTAGTTATAAAATATCATGATACATGTCAGGTATGAAAAATAAGCATTTTGTTAGGCAAATTTTATTTTATTTCACACAGTTTTCCTAAATAATTAGTAAGATACAAAAAAATAAATAAATAACACGGTCATATTTATAGCATTCAGATGCCGATCCTTAAAATGTTATTATTTTAACGAAAAGAGTATATTCTCTTTTCTGCTACAGTCAAGAAAATGTCCTGTTAAGTACTTTTTTTATAAAAAAAATTATACTTTTTAAATAAAGCCCCAGCAATTTTAGACTTTGGCAGTTGTCTAACTTAAATGAATTTTAAAATCACACCCAAAAATTTCACCTAAACTTTAAATTGCTTTTTCATAACTTTAAATCAATTTATTAAATAATGTGAATCAACTTTCGTCTTCTGAACTTAAAATTTTATCAGCGTGGCCACTCATAACAGATTTCAAATTTCCCTGATTTTTCCAGGTAAAAATCTTAAAATTTCCAGGTTTGTGTTTTTTTCCTTTTTTCTTTTAAAGTGTAGGATGTTGCAGAATATATTGTTTTTATTGAATAATTTTAATTGTTTTTATTGAACTTAATGTGTTACTTTAAGTAGTATTTGCTCAAAGTGTACCTACAAAATGACAAAATCAGAATAACCAATAAAACCTTGGATAAGTATTGTTTAATATATTTTCATTAAGGAAAAGAAAACCGTTTCAGGTGATTATATATCAATAATTTTTAATAATTACAGTGGCTCCCAAAAGTGNCCAATTATCTGGAACATTGTGTCTATGCTGGACTTCTAAATATGCACAAAGCAGTGCTAATTGACTGTTTATGAAACTCAGAATTCAAGGCAGTCAGATTGAGTGATAAATTAATTCAGCCATTTATAGCTCACTATTAGATTTTACCTTAAAACTATATAGACCTAAATTTAAACGAAAATTAGCTCAATCCATATTTTGCTTTAACCAAAAATTATTTGAATTTTTTTTTCTCACAAAGATTTGTTTTGAACGCTTTAGTACTAAAAATAAAAGGAAACTAATTTTGACATATTTATTTTTCAGTTAATGTGTTTGCACTGTCATTGGAATGGAAAAAATTACTTAAATAATGATACGAAAAATTTATTTTAAAATTAAAAAAAAATAAAGATAGGTTCACAAATAAAAAAATACATGCAATTTTCAAGAATGAAGTTATACATGTTGATTACTTCCTTAGCTTACTACACTCCCTCCCTTTTTTTTACGATTTCTGCATATTAAGAATAACAACAGCTTGGCCATTTTTATAATATTACTATATTAGGTACTATATAATTTTACAATATTACTGCACAAACTCAATCTATTTTAAAGAATTTAGTTCTTCTCTTCCTTGCTTTCTAGAAAAATATTGTCATGAAATATTTAGTAGATGTATACATTATTCCTTTTAATTTCATTGTTTACCTTAAAAGGAAATATTTGTCCCCTTCTTTCATTTCCTTACAAATATACAACTTTCAGGAATTAAGGTCTCAATACTTCTAGAAATAAAATTTCAATACTATTATTTTTAAGGGCAACACCCTTCATTATTTGCATCATAGAGCAAATTAATAAGAAATAACCAGTATGATACATTTAAGCAACATTATGTAAAACTTTTTTTCTACCTCACCAATGAAAAATGACCTTAAAAAATAAACATTTTCAAAAAAGCTTAAGTCTCCTGTCTCATAGGATTATGATGTATGCAGTTTAAAATAAAAGGTTAAAATTCATAGTAAAAATAAACTTAAAAATAATATTTAAATACTAAAAAAATGGATGTTTTTTTAAAAAAAGTAACGTAATATGTTTATCAAATGTAAAAAGCAATAAGTAACATAATATGTTCACTAAATGTTGATCACATGAAAAACTTAGACAATTCAGTTCCAAGTCTAAACTAAGATTGTATCATTTTCACTGTTTGAGTTATTAGTGCTTACAAAACCAGATTTTCTGCAACAATATGTAAGGATATTTAGGTTACCCTTTAAAAATTAATAACCCAACAATAGAAAATTTTTTGAAGTCATGGTTGAAAAAATTTTCCCAGAATGTTTTTAAAAACTTAATAGAAACAATTAATAAAATTTTTTTAATTTTTTTTCATTGGTTACAAAAAGGCTATAATATCAGTAAAAATTTTACATCTACTTTTATGAAGTTTAATCATTTTTTTCCTATTTTATTTATTTATTTTTTTGAAAAAATGAGTAACAAACAATTTTAAAAAAATGATTTGTGGTTAAAATTAGTACTCTCACATTATTTATTTAAATTTTTACCTGAAAAACTGATGTATATAAATAATGGTAAGTCTAAAAGCTACTTAAAAATCACAGTACAGAAAATTAATACAATTTTCAACACACCAAAAACATAAATCCATTTGTTTAAAAGAGAAAAATTAAGAATACATACTATACAACCAAAAGTTAAATCCATCCAGTGATGAAGCGGCTCAGATACATGAGAACTTTCTAAAGCATTTCTATGCTTTGCCACAAAATCTTCTGGACTATCACACCATGGAATGCCAAGATCATTTAAGTCTGAGTGAATAGAATTAAAAATCAGAGGATCGGAAAAAATTCTGGTATACATTCACCTGCTGTCCATTCCTGTGAAAGAATAAAAAGTTTGAATGAGAAACTTTATTGCAGTGGAAAGTTAACAGTGATTATAAACATGTAATGCCTATAATCATATAATTTTTCTTTAATCCCATAATAGAGAAGATTAATTCTTAATGATACATTTAGTTAGAGTGTCTACCAAGAGGTCAGTAAGTCAACATTTAAAATTTCCTAAACTGTAATAAGCATCAAGGGTTTATTTACCCATAAAATAATCTAAATATATAACTGAACACATATTTATCACATCATAACTATCAATATATGTGCTTTTATCTCAGTTTTCTGGCATAATGCTCTTTAATAATTTTTGCATCTTTTATCTAAATAAGAAAAAAAGGGTGTCCACAATAAAAACAAAAGAAAAGAAAATGTTCTTTAAAAGGTTATTTATAGACAGAAATAGAAATTCACTTTCTTCCACTGTCCTTTCTTTATCAATGATTACTACATTCAAAGGGTTTCGACTATCCACTTATCATTATTTTGTCATATCTTCCAACCTGATTTAAGTAATTAAATAAAAAAACAGAATTTACAGTATTGTTGCTTCATAATTATTACAAAATGTGAAAAACACAGGAGGTTGCTATTTTATAAATTACTAAAAAAGAGAGGTTGAAAAAGAGAGGTCTATAAAACACAGTAATTCGATGTTGTAAATCTGATTATCAAAAAATTATTTTATAAAACATATTTCACAGTAAAAAAAATCATTGTAAAAAGTGGATAATTTATTTGTTTTTAGAATTTTACTTTTTCTTTACAAAATTTATATAACTTCAAAATCTTTAATCAAAAATATTATGCTTCTTTTCAAAAGTTAACAGATAGTTTTTTAACAAAATTCTAAGACCTATAAACAACATTCCCTCTCATTTTCATCGAGCAACATGGATAATATTTTATTAGGAGTGAGCAAATAAAAATAAGCTAGCAATCTGCTTTTGAAAAACAAATGACAAAAGTTCCTTAAATTAAAATTTNTTATTCATACTTCATCTCTTACACTATGAAACGGAACAATTTTAGAAAGAAAAGAAAAACTACTTTTTACAATATTTATTTTCGGGGTTTTAATGTTTCTGTATAAAATCGTAAGAAAAGCCTGATGTTTTCGCTTTTCAACTTAAAGCAATTCTAATAGGGTAAATACACCGAAGATTTATTACTATTATTAGTGAATATAACCTTTTTCTCGTTTTCTTGATGGCACAGGAAAACTACTCAATAATTACCAAGGGGTAAGTAACAAAAATATATTTAAATCATTAACATGTTCAATACGGTACAATGGTAGACTTTTCTACTACTACATTACAATTTTCTTGCTTTTTACAAAATCTTAGTTTGCGGTTACGGTTACAATCTAATGATAAACTCCGCCATCTATCGGTGGTTCAATAACATGTATTTCTACACCATAAAAATGAACTCAGGGCCAACAGCGCCCCTGAAAAGACGCACATAGGGCTCTAGGACCTCCTACCTGTACCTCTGGGCATTCACGGAACCATTGTCAAACACATCGAGTGGTGTGCAGGCATCTTGCATGATCCCTGCCCAAACCATGAGCCCTCCACCAGCATAATGATCCCTTTCGATAATGTTGCTGGGATGGTATCGGGTTCCAGGTTCCCTCCATATCAATAACCGTCAAGAATCAGGTTGTAAACTGAATCTGGACTCATCGGTGAAGAGAACATTAGCCCATTGAAGCTGTGTCCAATTCTGATGTTGTCTTAATTTTGTCCACCAGTGCACATATCTTGCCATACCTCACTTTCAGCTCTATTGACATACAGATTTTTTAATTTTTTTTAATTTTCTATGCCTGACATCTCAAAAATCAATACATAGTAGTAGAAATTTTAAAATATTGGCTAATATTTCATTAAATACATTTTTGACAGCCAGCCTTGATCTTTCATAAGGGTATCATAGACTCCTCCACTTAAGTCCAAAGGAACAAAACTTAGATAGTAATGGTATTGGTTTGGGAGAACAGTGGTTATTTACAATCCCTAGATTTAAGAATTCAAGAAAAAAAAGCTCAAATTTAATGCCTTTTTATCTTCTTGTCCCACCTTCCAAAAATACATTTAAGTTAGCCATTCTCGAACTACTGGCAAGATCTGAAGCAATGCCTCACCTAGCTAGCTCATCATACCAGCATACTATAGTTTTATATATCATGTAAATCATTGTTTCGGAATTAGTTTGAGAGGTAACTATGGTGTGAAGGTATATTATTTAGTTTATATTTTAAGGATAAATTTCGTAACATTAATTAAAATAAAAACTTTTGATTTCAATATGTATATAAATTATTGTATTTCTTCAGGTTACTATTTTATAATATTTAACTCATATCGTAAATTTCAGAGCATAAATAAAATAAACTGTACTGCCAGTAATGGCTGGTTGTAGTTGTTTAAACAAGTTTTTAAACTAGATGCAAAAAGATAAATGTAATGTAAAAATCATAATATTGAACTATCATTACCTAAGCAAAGAATTACACGATTTTAATTTCAAATACAATATTATAGAATTTCATTAAAAAAATTAACTAAAAACAACATTATACAATCTATGTACAATATATTTAAACAACAGTAATTTTAATTTAAAAAATATATATTTAAATATTACCAGCTTAGTGAGTAGTATTGTTGAATAACAATTAAATCTAGCAAAGAACTTGAATGAGTTGTAAAAAAAATTATTTGCACAAATCTATAATCTAATTTAATTGAATTTAAAAAAATAAAACATTTAAAGGAATCTTTGCCTAGAAAAATTAATACAATATTGGAATATACATTTTGACAAATTTAATACCTTTTTAAAATATTGCTCAATGATATACAATAGAAAAAAAATATATAAAAAAACAGGAGTCTTAAATTTTGCTTTTGTATTTAAAATAATTTAAAAAGAAGATTCAGTTACCAGAACAATCATTCAACTACTTAAATGACAAAGTTAGGAAAAAGTACAAATAACCAATATTTCTTATTTCTTTGAATTGATAAGGCATGGATATTCTTATTGATATGAGTCTTTAAGTTTCTGACAGCACTTTCATTTGTTACATAATGAAGGTTTATTTTTACATATTCTTAGAAATGAATAATATATAATCTCGATTCAATAATATACAACAACTAATAATTACACCATTTCAATAGCGTGAAATGTTTTTTTTCTAAAACCAGCAAACAAATTTTAAAATAATTAAAAATTCACAAAATAAAAATAATCACAACACAAAATTAGCAAAATAAAACACGTAAAATATACTATTGAGTTTTTCTTCAGTGGATAAAAAATCTATTTGTGAGTTTGTAACTTAGCAAAAGGATACAATGCACAGACTGCAATTGACTCAATAGTTTGAAGTAACCTGTTAATTCTTTCAAAGCCAAAGGAAAGAATGGCAATAGGAATTAATGTGCTTGCATGGCTCATTTATGTTTTTTATTGTGGAAAAGTGTATTAGAAGTATTTTACATATTTTTCTAAATTAAGACTTCTTTTAATTAGAAGGAATAAAAAAACCGTATTATTATTTTTCTCATTTTAAAATCATTCAGTATCAGTAAAAAAATTACTGAAGAGACAAAAATTAGTTTATACTAAGAGGTAAAATAGCATTATGGAGAATACATAGTAATTGGTCCATTATGTGTAAAAAATAGAGAGGAAAACAATAACATAGTTGATCCACCAAGTATGTGAGGACTGAAATATCATTCAAAGAACAGTTGATTTGTACACATCACAGAAGAGCATAATTAGCACTACACAAAAGGCTTGAAATAAGTTAGCTAAAAAAAGTTTGTTGCAAAAAGTTGCTACAAATTTATTTTGTATTACTTTTTTGCACCCTTCTTATACATTTATACAACTGCAGTTATGAATGTATGATGTATCATAAAAATTAATTGCATCACACAGTTGAAATAAACTATAATAACAGTTACGATCTAAAATCTGTGATATATTGAACCTTTGAAATAACAAGATTGTGATGAAATGATAAAAGTCATCAAGATCATTACTACAAAAAGCAAATATGACTATATTAGTTTTATGAAAGTAAGAGCTATCAGGTAAACACTCGATTTAATTTCAAAGCATAAATATATTCCAGACACATTAGCAGGGCTCTAATACAAATAGTAAATTAATAGAGTTTAAAAATTGAATTTCGTAAGCACTTTGTAGATAAAACACTAAAATATGAACAATCAGTTCACTTAAAATTAAGATACATTACAGCTCAACAGTTTGGGAACAAGATTACAACTTTAAAAGATTAGTAATTTGTATGAAAGAAAATATTTTTAATGTAAGAATAATTTTTAAACAATTTATTGAGAAAGTTTTGGATTTATTATCAGAGATTGCCAAATGCATGGCTTAAAGAAGCCCAAGGCACCATAAACAAAGAAGAATGACAAAATGTGCTTATCTACCACATAAAATATTATATGTACATAAAAAATCCAAATGGATATTTTTCATATACTTTTAGATAGGATTTTTGGATTTCTTTTTATAAAAAAAACTTCTTTCATAACTATACTTTCTTTACTTGTGGTTAATATGGGTCGCATTCATTTCATCGACAATCACTTCATCGACACACCATTTCATCGNTCTCATCAACGTCACCTTCAAGAGAAATACAATAATTTCTGTTTATCCTTTTGAAACATGTAAAGTCAAGTTCCCTTAAGAAAACCCTTTAGTGGTTGACTTTTAATTATTCTCTAAAAATAGTTTCATGGAAATATCAATATACTGCACACTTGGACATAAGAAAGGGTTTTTTGTTGTTACCAAATATCCTACTCCTCATCACTGAATTTATATTTACTATATCTAATTTCTAACAGTTTTTCTTGTCAAAGTCAATCAATCCCTTCAACTATTGAGATGGAAGGATGTTTTCATCAAACCTACAATTTCATAATATCTTTAAATAATTTTTTCATCGTCTGAATTAAGAGCAAGAATGCTGAAATGGCTACTGAATCTGACCCTCTAGATTAACATTACTTTTATCAACGATAATTCAAAAATTTTAAGAAATTCTACTTTCAATAGAATATAAAGGAAGTATGTCCTGATCTTGACTGATCATCAGTTAGTTAAAAATAAATTGCAGCGTATTTGATGTAAGATAGAACAAAAAGCTGTCCCTATCAGTAGACACTCAACTTATTATCTATTAGTTATAAGGCAATTACAGTTTCTGGTCTAACATAGCTTATTTTAATTTTATTTGAAAACATTTTAAAGTTTTCAACCCTTCATTTTATGCAGTTGTAAATTTATAACACTGATTTCAATACCTATGATATGCATTTGAATATAAATGAAACAATTGTTTTGTTCATTATGTATACTGTTTGAATCAATCTTCTTGAATTTGAAAATGTTCATCTAGTGTCCAATATATGGTCCAGTTTACCAAAAATTGTATTTCATTTTAAAACTCATATTTAAACCTTTACTGTGATTTTAAACTATTAAATTATGTTTTATTACTGAATTTTCTGTTTAAGGATTAACTTGTATCAGATATAAGTTGAATAAATTTTTTTGAAAATATTTCAATTTAATATTAAGATTTTTAAATTGTACTGAAGAAGACAGTTATAAGCAAAAAAAATAGTTAATGTTAAAAGTTTTTAATTTTTTATAGCATGGAAAATTAAATGCATCAATACAACTGAAAATATTATTTTAATCTGCCTTTATTTTCTTTCAGTTTCTAAAAAAATTTTGTTCAATTCAATTTAAGATGCCTTCTTAATGCACTTATTACATTTCAAAATGCGTTTATATTACATTATATATAAATATATAATATCTCATTAAAAAAAAGTATGAAAATATTCAATTTTCTAAGGATAAAATTACCCTATTTTTTGTATTCAATTCTTCAAATCTGTATTCTCAAGTTCTTCTAAAGCTTTACCAAGACCATTCTGTCAGTTTCCTTTCCAAAATATCAAACCACTAAAAAAGTGACATTTTATGATTATTCATTTTAGCAAAGGGAGATCTTAAAACAAACCTTTTATGTTTTATAAAATTTACAAAATAGAGAAAATAGCTTTGATAATATTTCATCAGAATTTTGTAATATCCAAACAGCTCTTAAAAATATTTTTCTGCCTTTAGAAGATAAATCAGCGAAACTCGCTATTCCTTTCAGGAATATATATCAAGTTTGCACTTCAGGGATCTCAAACAACATATTTTCAGTTTAAACTTTTCTTCGCAATTCCTAAGTTAAATCAGTTGATAGTGCTTCAAATGTAAAAAAAATATGAAATCACACAGTTAAATTGAACCCATAAATTAAGTAAATCCTTGTTTTGATATTGAAAAATCAAATTTCATCTAAAAGTTCCTCAAATTTGAGAAGAATTTGTATACAATGTAAGAAGTTTGCCCTATTGAGATTCTATTTCCTGTAACAACTCAGATAACTTGTGATTTTTTAAAGCACATTCAGATGTAAATTTTAAGAATTCTAGTTAAAATAGACAAAAGATCATAAAATAACGGCATATTAACTTATGCACACAATGGTACTCGTTTCTGAATCTACCTTTGCTGTTGTCAGTCTTAGAGATTTTTTAAAAACGTTTTGCAGTAAATGTAAGCAAATAAAGTAATTTAAAGTATACTTGTTGTGTGCCACCATGACATCTGAACACCTAGTGCCACGAGGGCCGTAGGTTTGCCATCTTTTTTTTATAGTGACCAGATTATAGAATGACAACAAGTAGTCATCACAAAAGATCATACATAAGTAATTTTGTGATGTTACATTTCAATGACCTAATTTGTAAATTTATCCACAAAACACAACCAATATAGAGAGTTATAATTTTATAGAAAAAATATACATGGCAGTGAGATATTATTAAATTATAAAAGTTTATTAAAAAAAGGATAATTAAAAAGATAATACATAAATTTAGTTCAACATCATAGTCTTTCATTCTCAGATGTAAGGAAAAGTGGGGAAAGATCGTTTAGCTAAGATTTAAAGGGTGTTGGAGTTGATCTGCTCAACATAGAAGCTGTCAGATATCCCTTGTTTAGTTTTGTACAAGACAACAGTCATGAAAAGTCACACATATATAACTTTTGTTATAAATTATTTTTTTCTAGAAAAAGTCAAATCACCCCATTAATAAGACCAGGAATAAATGCTAACTCTATGGGAAATTTAGAAAAGCTAGAATTTCAATGAAAAAGTAGCAGACATTTCCATTTTATAAGGAAATTTACTGAAATTATGCAGGCAATTTACATGTGATGTAGTCAAGACTGTACTCAAGGGAGGGGGACAAAACATCTAGGGGTCTGACCAAAATTCATTACGAAAACTATAGCATTTTTTTAAAAGAAAATTGCAGAGAATTTTTTATATCAAAGCATAAACTACAATTCTGCTGTCTTCAAAAACTACACAAAATATGAAAATAGAAGCAATAAACTTTGTTCCATGAAACTTTTGTTCAATCTTGAATGCAGTTATTTTCTTCCTTCAATGTTTTCTAGCTTTCATGGTCTCAGCCTAGGGAAAGATTGGGTGTTACCCTGTCTAACCCCCAAGAGTAAAGGTTCTACTGAAGAGTGATACTAATGAACCTTATTGTTTGTTATGAATCGTTAGTAATTACGTTTATTAAGCTGTACTAAAAATAATTGTAATAACGCTAGATTTAAAAACAAAAGAACATTAAAGTTGATACAGAAAAACAAGTTTATCTATACAGATGCATTGAATTAATCACCAACAATATGATAGGTGCATCTATTTGACAAGTGACGTGTAATTCAGAGTTTGCCCACTGAAAAACAAAATTAATTTTGACACAATCAAGGTACCCAGTTTCCCCCCTACTCTCCCGTTATAATATTTAAAATAATAAGGGAATTAATACCTTTGTTAACTGGATTAGAATGAACAATTATGTTGTTTTCTTTTCTTCTTTCATTTAGCTTAAACAAATTTTTCCAAAAATCACACAAAGCTTCAGAATAAGTCTGTAAAAAATTCATAATAACAATTTAATAACAATTCAGTAAAAGAATATATTAGCATAAAGACTATGGAGAATGCATAAAAAGAACACTGTGAATAATTGTTTATCTGGTGAACAGATTTTCACATACTAAGGTGCAATATTAATTGGTTTGAGAATATTGATATAGTATCAAATCAAGCATATTAGCATAAAAAAAGTATCATTGCCACAAATACTATAAAACTAAATCGGAACATAAGATTTCGTAAAGATATTCGTTAAAATTTTCTAGGAAGTTAGTTACAACTTCCTGTAGAAATTATTGATGAACACACTCTAAAATTAATTTTTTTTTATTATTGAAAAATGGCTGGCAAGTTTTAACTTAGAACAAATTGGCATATTATTAAAACAGTTATTAATGAAACAATTTAATGATTAAAAATATTAATGAACTTTAAAGTAAAAATCCAATTTGACTTTGTGGGATGTCTTACAATAAATTTTTTAACTCTAGGAAATTTTATGTGATTTTTATTTTACTTTTTAAAATACAAACTATAATTTTTAGCAAATAATTGTGAATTCTTTTGCTTTTATTCATCATGACATTTTTATTCATACAAAATTGCTAATCTAGAAGAAAGAGTGTTGGGAGTTGTATAAAATGTGTGCATGGATCCACACATTAATGCACTAAAAAAAAAAATAAAAAAAGACTTAATACCTAATTCCTGAAAGCTAGTAGTCTGAGAAAATATCACGCAGTTTTTTAGGTAACTTCAAATAAGAAAAACATTTACAAAAAAATAAATAAAAAACTGAATAACTTCCGATCTAATGATTAATTTTTCACACACTAATAAGGAGATGGCACTGTGTGTAGCGTAAAATCTTAATATCAAACAAAGTTTTATTACATTATGTGGCACTGAATTTAAATGTGCTATTTAGTTTGAGGCTCCTGAAAGGTTTTCTTGGTTATTCTCAACAAGTTTTGTGCTGGATAACAAAAAGAAAGAAAGTGGGGCCACTATAATGTTCTGGTGGCTTTGTGTGTGCATAATCTATGAAAAATAAAATCTTTTTAATAATAATGATATGCATTACAGATATCAAAAAAAAGAAAAACTAAAAGTAAATAAATAAAATTAAAATGTTAAGTATAAGTTTTACAATTAAGTGTATGTTTCATAAGGATCGAAATAGAAAAATAAATTTAAGAAAAATTCTATATCTAATTTATTAGAAAAGAACAGTTTTCCCTGTCATATGAGACAAATTAAAGTTGCGAAAAATTGCGTCAAATACATATAATAAAAAAAAGCTACAATACCTTTTTTTCATTTCATAATATTAAAAGGGAAAAAAACTGAAACAAACACAGTTATATATTAAAAATGAAATGACATTATAGATCACACTAAGAAATAACTAATAAGTACTAAAAAGTTGAAAAAAAGTTTTATGAAAAATATTTAAAAACTTTTAAAAAAATTTTCAAAGTTCTGAGTATTTTTTATAAAAATATACTAATTTAAACACACAAAAAAAAAATTTTGAAATAAGAAAAATATAGGTAAATAGATAAAGTAAAATAAACATTTATTTTAAAAATTATAAATAAATTTATTAAAAATTTTGAAATAAATAGTTGTGTGCTACTGGCTGTGAACTATTTGTTGACATATATTGAACAAATATTGTCTTCCCTTGCATCCTATATTAAAAAGAAAATATAAAAAGTATTAAGAGTCTTTTTCCTTTCCTTTGACCTTGAAAAAGATTTGTTAAAATCAAATATATTCACAAAACATAAAAACTATACATAAATGCTAGAAATGTGTTATATTTAAGAGTTGATTTTAGTAATTTAATTGTTTTTGTTGTTTTACCTAAAAAGATGATTTACTTCTATAATTAACTTTTTTTATTTCAAAATACAAAAACTCAAACCTGCATATGATGTTATCATGAAATAAATAGATAAATCTCATAACTGAAAAGCAATAGTTTTGGTGCAGTCTAAGGAGTTCTAATAAACATAGCTAGTTTCAAAAATTTGTTTTCTTTCTCACAATATTTTAATTTCATACTTCTTTAATTACATACTTCTTAAACAATGACTGTTTTGAAAATATATGTCAAAAAATTTAAATTATTATATCTGTAAGCCTTTTTTTCTGAAACTTGGAATATTGTATAAAGGACTTCATTGTGTTACACCTTAAAATCCTTTGCTCATATTTTTTATGATCATCAGTAATGGTACAATTTTCGTAAAAGATTTTGAGCTTTTTCCTATCTTTTATTTATTTATTTTTTTTTTGAGAAAAGTATAAGCTAAAGCTATTTAAACTCTGAGAAATATCTTGTTTACACAATCTGATGTTTTTACTTATGAGAGTTGCTTAAAAGACGTGTTCGCAAACTTACATCTGGTTATATATGTCTTTTACATATTTTAGGTAAGTAAAATGATTGAAACTTATTTTGAATTTATATGGTGGATTTGCCAAAATTTTTTTAGAAATTAAATGCCCAAAAATTGCTAAGCTATTGCAGTTAAACAAATAAAATGATTAGTGGCAGTTTAATTCTCCGTTAAGACCATTTAAGTTCCAGGGTCAAATCTGCTGACCCCATAAAAGTGTGAAACATATCTCCCTAATACACGTTTTTTTAACGAAATTTTTTAAAAAATAAACAAATTATGTTTAATCTAAGTAGCATCATCTAAGAAGTAAATATTATTGGCATATTATATACTTAAATATAAATTAGTCATATTTCACGAAATCAAAAATTTGTCTCTTACAACCAAAATAAAGTTAGCTGAATAAACTTTTATTTGCAAGAATTCTTGACTGAAAACAAGTAAATCAATTATATAGCTGTTAGTTGTAAACAAGGTGTGACAAAACTAATGGTTTCAACCATAAAGGGTAAAAGAATTCACCAAAGCAAAAAACTTTCAACTTACAATGTGGGCTCAAAAACCAAAGGGTAAGATGAATGAGGGTCTTTCTTGAGAAAAAGGGAAAATATAGAAAAAAAATTTTATATTCGATTGTCAAGAAATCTTGATTTTATATTAGTTAGGAATATTTACTGGAAAAAATTTATTTTTTCCAGGACATTGAAAAAAAAAATAAAACCGAAGCAAATTGAATGAAATGGGTGATACTAAAAATAGCCATATAGAATTGTTTAGCAATCCGTTCCTACATAAACATATTTGAATTTAAATAAATTAAAATTCAATATAATGACAGAGAGTTTAATTTTCTTACATTTCTTTTTTTAAATAACTATACTTGTATTATTAAAGTTTTATACAAAATTATAAAACCTTTATAACATCGAATTTAAGAGTTTGAGTACCTACTATTCATACTTCACAGCATTTCATTATCAGGGGTCTGTCTAGGTTTTTCTGAGAGGTACCTATTTTGTGAAAATTTAGACGTTATTTGTGAAAAATTAAAAATTATATTTAAAAATCAACACAAAAATATGGTAAAAATATGGATTTATCGTTTCTTAAGGGATACAAAAATAAAATTGTAAGAAAAAGTACTTTGTGAAACTACCGTTTTTCCTAAAATTGAATTTGTGAAGGTACCGCTAAACGGTAGTAAATTCGGCCTGGACAGACCCCTGATTATCAAAATTACTATGCTATTTACGATATCAAAAATCCCTATCAAAATACGATTTATAGTAGAAAATACAATAAGCATGGTATACCACTAAAAGATTAAATTAGTTCCATGACTAATTTAAACATTTAGTGGGTGGAAATAAAACTAACCAAGCATATAGCTTCATCAAAAGCATACTGCTTAATGTTCTTTAAAGGAATTCCCAAGAGACGAAGGATTTCTTAAATGAGGTCCATTCTTCATAGTCTTCTAAAAATAGAAAATTTTAATCTCATTTCTCGAAGCTTATTGAAAAACGAAAAATTAAATTTTCTGCTAAATTTGAATTCTATTTGTTTTGATTAAGACGTTTCTGACCTTCTATTTCTGTTGCATGAGTTCTTTGATTTTAAATTAAAGGATCAGCCTGACCTAAAGCAACTGGCTCACCCGTTGTTTAACCGCAAGGGACATTCTCACTGTTTAAGAAAATTCGCGAATGGGAGAGAGAGATTTGAAGCATAACCTGGTAAATGAAATCTTTTAGCGGGAAAGGCTAAAACAAAACACTTGGGTATAGAGAAGTACTAAAAAAGGCAGCGAAAATATGTATTAAAAGTTTTTCAGACTTGCCATCACAGTTTGGACCTTTTGGAGAGGGGGTTAGATAGTTTCCATGACACTGTTTGAGATCATAGGTTCGCGTGCTTTTTGATAGCCCTATCGAAATAAGGTGGTTTGGAGAATAGTAGGGGGATTTCGCTGACCTAAAGATTAAAGAAGCTAGAAGATTAAGGAAAATGACATAAATTATTACGTTTTATTTTTTAATAATAAAAATATATTACCTATAAATATCCCTTTTTGTATTTAAATTGTAATTTATCTTTTCTTTGCAGAGGGAAATACCTTTGAAGAGTCACTCCATGACTTGTTTAGAACATTAATACAAAAAAATTCACAAATATAATTATTACGAAAAATTCAGAAAACTATTGACACTTAAAATTTAAAAATTGTGAACAAGATCCTGTTCACAATTTTCACTGCATTTGAATGCTTTAAAAGACTTCTCTAAAAATAATACAAAAAGAGTGGTATTAAACTATTATTCTCTTTTTTTTACTTTCTTTTATTTAACTTACTTTTACAAACGTATTTAAAACTTTTCTTTTAACTCTAAGTTTCCAAACACTTACACTCGGTCTAAGAAAAAGTCAAAAGGGGTGTTCTAACTAAAATTTAAATTTCTGAAGAAAAAATAAATGTAAATTTTTTAAGCATTATTTGCTTGTTAAAATCTTTAACATTTTTGAATCATACTTCACGCTCCCTTAATTTTAAAAACATCTCTTTATTTTCTGAAAATATACTTTGATTCGAAAATTGTTTTTCATATTCAATACATCAAACTAAAATTTTCATAATTTTTTTTATCTACGGTAAAGATTGGCATCACTACAGAAAAAAAAGTAACTAAAGCTGAATTCAAGATAAAAAAATAAAAAAAATGCTTCTCGAATAACATTTTGCGATTTATAAATGTTCAGGTTCTATTGATCTAATTGCTTTAACTCATTTTCGGTTAAAGCAAGGTGCGTAAAAACACCATTTCAATAAACATTTTTTTAATTAACACTGTGATGTATATTTTTCACTAATTTTATTCAATTCGACTTTTTGAAAATTTATAATTATTCCCTTTAAGATTGATTCTATGTTTTCATGACGGAAAAGAGTTGAACGTTCCGTAAATAAAATAAAAATATAACAAATTTCTTTAAAAAATAGCTAGTGTTCAACTAATGGTTTGTCCATTGATTTGGCCAATGGTGCATGCAACGTTTCATTTTTTAAGCATATTTCAAAGTAAAAAAATATCACATTTCATGAAATTTCTATGCTTGGCTTGAAATGAATTAATACTCGGTTAGCATATTTGTTAAAAACCCTTTGGACCACAATGGATCAAAAACCCTTTTGTTTGAGTGACCGTGGGAGGGTTCTTTAAGCTAAATAGTCGGAGGAACACCGTGTATGGCGTGGCTCAGTTGTTACGACTGTGTGTGTGTGTTATTCATTTTGATTTGATTTGTTTGATTTGTTCATTTACGTCGCACTAGAGCTGCACATGTAGATCTGCTGGGAACCATGTCTTAACGATCAGTCTACTGCGGGACAGGGATCGTAAGGAAACTGCTTATAGACTTTTAAGTAACAGGTCTGACTTTAAAGAAACAAATCACAAAAAATATCCTCATAATTTTAGAAAGACAAGTCGTAAAATAGATCTCATATGACTTTCAAGGCATTCAACCAGGGTGACTACCAAGAGACGAAAGTCACCATAAATAGTCATGGAGACTTTTATGGGATTTCTCAAGACAGAATAACATAAAAGTCACATTATGACCTCCTTGGGACAATTCAAAACTACCCCACTTGTGACTGTGACTATTTTTGACTTTTATACTTTTTTTGAAGGTTTTTAGCAAAAAAGCTACTTTTTTATTTTCTGCAGAAAAGATGAAGAAAACACATTTTGTGAAGGAAACACAAATGTTCCAAATACCCTATGATTTTTTGCAGATTTTTGTAGCTGTATATCCATGATATATACGTATGCAGCAATATTGGACACTTATTTATGTATCACAGAATTTTATTTTTTAAATTTATATACCTTTTAAACTACACCTTTTCAACAATTAGTTTTCTCGATTTTTGTATTGGTGTCATTCAGCTTAGCTCAAATAATACTTCGGCAATACGATCCCACCTGACGTATTAATTTTAGAAATGCGTATTAGTTTTTCTAAAAAGGTATTTCAGATACATAAAAGGATGTAAAAAAAATTCATTTTTATACTCATCAAATTCATTATAACTTCTGTACTTTTAGTCTCATCAATTTGATTTTAATGTCATTCGTTTCAGCGTAAAAATACACAGAAAATAATACATCGCCTGACTTGGTTTAAGTTTTTCTCATAATGATTTGCCTAGATTTATGTTTTTCTTAGTAAATTTGAAATGTTTGCTAAAGTTTATCTCGGGGTGACACACTTTAGGTTCTATATCCAAGATTCAGACTACGAGTATTTCGTTAGTTTAACTTAAAAATCGAAAGGGTATACCCTATGTGACACAAGTAAAAACCACCCCATTTTAAAAAGAGTTATATTCAGACGCCATGGCTTGAGATTCGAATACTTTACCACATTTTTAGTAAACTAAAAGGGTCTAACTGGCATCAGTGAGCTATCATAACAAAGGACCGGGGTTAGAAATCTCAGTACAGACCTAAATCTCAACCAATTTCAGATCAATGATAACCGATGGTCTGGATAGTAGGTACTTTATTTATGTTGCACTAGAGCTCCACGATGGGTTATTGGTGACGGTCTGGAAAATACCCCTGAACATGATCACTCTTTTGATCCTCTGAAGAAGGGATGGTTTCTCCGCTTTGGTAGCCAAACGACCTGAAGTCATGTACTTTACGGCAGAACAGGTTAACGAGGACACATATCACGCACCCTCAGTCCCTACGCAGACTGATCAAAGTGGGCCCCCACCCGCTTACTGAATACAGCCAGTGATGACAGACGTCAGTGTTCTACAGGGAACCGTGTCTTTACGATCATTCCACTGCGACATTGTCTGGGAATTAAATTTTAATTGATTGATTTATTGGTAGACATACATAAGTGGGCTTGTGTGTTCAATTAAATAAGTACGACCCGTAAGCCTTTGTTATTTAGAAGAGCAGATGGCCAGATTAGAGTAAAACAACACGAAAATACATCGAAAATTCGAACTTGCTACATAGTGTTTGGTGGGTGATGCCGCTCAGCGAAGGGAAGTAAAGGTGACATTAAGCGCGATATTGCCACACTGATAATATTGTCACACTGGGCCGCGATGGCTCACGGGATAGAGCATTCGTCTTCCACTGTGGCGAAACGGGTTCGAATCCCAGTCGATACGAATTAAGCATCCAGCTGGCAACGACCACAGCGTTGACGAGACGTATCCACAGTGGTAGGCGGATCATGGGTTTAAGTCCCTTTGCCTTCAGGCTAACCACGGAAGGTTCTCGTGATATTCCTCTCCATGTAACGCAAATGCGGGTTAACTCCATAGAAAAGTCCTCCACGAAGGCAAATTTCTCCCAATACTCGATTCAGGAGTTCCCTCGTCTTCTGAATTGGGTTCAAAATTACAAGACTACGGAGTTGAGCATTAGTTGTCGTAAACCAATAAAATTGGGTCAGCTGTTCAACGACGGTTGTGAAATAAAATATTTCCACTCTAGGGACCGGGATAGCCTGGTTGTAGGACTAAATTTTCTACATAAAAAATGCAGGAGCCCCCCCTAATTCACTTATTAAAATTTCTTCCGGCAGGCATGTTAGGACCATAGACCCCTACTTAGGGTCCGAGTTTGAAAATTATAGCATAATATTAGAGGGAGCTAGGCGGTCACGAAATTTGAACCTCATTCGCGCCATTTTATTATTTTTTATTATTTTTTTAATTATTCCATTATGCCATCTTTAACAAAGAAAGATTCTGCATTTTATACATAGAACACTTTACGCATGCTAAACTATCCAAAATATTGCAAAAGGTGTCAAAAAATAACATATAAGCTAATTTTAATAGATTTTTCCAGTTTTTTTCCCATTTTCCGAATAAAAATATTTTTTTCCCATATGCAGGACCCTCCCGAATATTGAAAAACTCATTAAAAAAATAATATAATGTAAAATAAGCGAAAGAAAATTTTTTTTTCGAAAAATTGCCCGCTTCCGGGATTCGAACCTGCACCCCCTCGCTCCAAGCCTTGAGTTACTAGTCTGGTGTCTTAACCACAAGACCGCTTCAGCACGACAAGCCTGCCATAGTATTGCTTCAAAAGCCTTCTCAGGGTCAGCTATGCAATAGACCTTTAGGAGCCCGCTGAGACTCCCCTAATTCACCTATATAAATTTCCTCTGGCAGGCATGTTTGGACCATAGACCCCTACTTAGGGTCCGAGTTTGAAAATTATAGCTTAATATTAAAGGAATCTAAGGCGGTTTCAAAATTTGAACATTATTCGCTCCATTTTATTTTTTTACAATTTTTTTTATTATTCCACTATGCGTTCTTTAACGAAGAAAGATGCTGAATTTTATACATAGAGCACCTTACGCATGCTAAACTATCCAAAATATTGCAAAAGGAGTCAAAAAATACAAAATAAGCTAATTTTCCAGCATTTTTCCAGTTTTTTCAACATTTTCCGAATGAAAAAAATAATTTCCTACATGCAGGACCCTCCAGAATATGGAAAAGCATATTAAAAAAATAATATAATGTGA